AGGGAGGCCAGGCGGTTGCTGCGATTATGATTCCCCTCTCCCCGCGCTCGGTGGTGTCGCTACCCGCTCGCCAGGTGAGTGAGTGAGTGAGCGAGCGAGCGAGCGGGCGGGCGGGCCTCTAGGCAGTTACCGAGGGCGAGTTTCGGGCCCCGGGTCACCAGGTTCTGCATCAGCCTCCGAGCCGCGTCCGCCATATTCGCAATGTCACCGTCCGGACAACTACCAGGACCCCCGCTACAGCAACCCAGCTCACTGCCTGACTCCACAATATCCACTCGGGGTCCTCCGCGTATAACTGAACAGGCCCTTTCATAGACAGCTATCCCATCCAGCGCAGTCCAACTTCCAACTCGATACAATTCCCAGTGAATCTATTTAAACAGCTAAATGTCACTTAAAACACGATTCAAAATTTTGACATACAACTCCAAATATAGTTCAAAACTTTAATATAATTAAAATAAATGTAAATTCCTTTACAACTAGATAAATTCATTTAAATTATATGGAGGTTTCTAAATTTAAATGACTTTAAATGCAATTCTAAAAATTACAATTCCAATCTGCTTTAAATGCAAATAAATTAATTAATTAATTTACAATGTGATATCAAGAAATGGGTGGAAGCACTGGATATTGCACGTTATGGGTTCTGATAACATTCCAGTAATAGTACTGAAGACATATACTCCAGAGCTTGCCATATTCCTGGCCAAACAGTCCCAATACAGCTACAAAACTGTTATTTATACAAAAAAGCAGGACAAATCCAACACAGCCAGTTACTGCCCCATTGACCCACTTTCAATCATCAGTAAAGTGGTGGAAGGCATCATCAACAGTGCCATCATGCAGTACTGTTTAGCAATAACCCGCTCACTGAAGCCCAGTTTGAATTCTGCCAGGGCCACTCAGCTCCCAACCTCATTACAGCCTTGGTTCAAAAATGGACAAAAGAGATGAATTACAGAGGCAAGGTGAGAGTGTTGGCCTCGACATCAAGAAGCCCTTACAAAGCTAGAGGCTGACAGAGCAGATTTCAAGGGCCAAATGGCTTACTTATGCTTAGCTTCTCTATCTCTAGAGTCAATGAGAATCAGGAGGAAAACTCTCTGCCAGTTGAAGGCATACATAGCACATAGGAATATGGTTCTGTTATTTGGAGATCAGTCATCTAAGATACTATTGCAGGAGTTCGTTAGTGTCTTTGGATTCTTGCTCCTAGCCACTACCCACCCACTCTTGTTGGAAAGGTGTATAGATCAGCAGGATCAGCCCCAGCTACAATACTTCCAACTTGTGTTGATGTCAAACCATTGGAGGAGTCCCCCATTGGCTGCCAAGTTGCCATGGCAATACATTTGCTGGTATAGGATTGAATTAACTGGGGGTTGCATAATCAGACTGTCAAGCATCTGATAAATTAAGACACATTTGTCCATCTAATGCATCTTTCAATGTGAAACGTGCAGCTATAGGCACACGTCCAGGATTAAGTTTTCTGGGATTGAAGAATATGCGTGGGGTTAGAAGGAATGAGGAGGCATGACTTGGACAAGACATCAGCATGGACCAGTTGGGTCAAATGGATCAGTTCTATATTACAAACATTTTTAAGCTCACATGAAGGAAGATCATTGCACAAGATACTCTACAGCTGTCAAACACAAATTGATCCATATTTCACGAGCTGAAGATAGAACCTGCATTTATTCAGCAATTCTCATCACATCTGGAAATCCTGCAGGCAACCAATAATGTATTGACTGAAGTCAGGAGCGATTGGGAGAAATCTGAAATAAAATTTGTTTCCTATGCTGTGTGCTATATATTGGTGTTACTACGAATAGCATTTGAATGACATTTCAATACTGGATAAATCCTGCCCCTTTTGTCAATCGTGCCGTTGAATCTTTAATATCCACCGGAAAGAAGGCACCTCGTCAGTACTGCATCAATGTGTCAGTCCCAACTATATGCTCAAACCTTTGGAGAGTTGAATTTACACCCAATGCAGTAATATTTAAAATAATTTTATGCGGGTGAATAGTCACCCCTCCCTATACACTGGGACAGGGGAATGTATAAATCTCAGGGATGTGTAGCACCACCCATTTTTGTCCAATATCCAATCGACAGGCATAAAAATGCAGAACAGCTATTTTAATAGTTTGTATTTTTAACATATTTATTTTCTACTGTAAACAGATTACTGTCAACAAGTATAACTAGTATAACTAATGCATTGTGCACTGTCTCAGAGTAGTGTAGGTAAAACAAATATTTTCTTCTCATAAACCAGTGAACTAATAATTTAGCCGTGGAAAATTATTTTGTATAATCATACAAGGTTTCGTAAATCAGGCATCAAAACAGGTCACTCAACAAACAATTCATCTTCTATTGATGTTAGCAGTTAGTTATGATGGAGTCTGGTGGACAAGTATAATTCACAGAGAAATACTGCATGATTGTGGCACGGTGGCACGGTGGTTAGCACTGCTGCCTCACAGCACCAGGGACCCAGGTTCAATTCCAGCCTTGGGCGACTGTGTGGAGTTTGCACATTCTCCCCCTGTCTGTGTGGGTTTGCTCCAGTTTCCTCCCACAGTCCAAAGGTGTGCACCTTAGGTGGATTGGCCATGCTAAATTGCCTGTAGTGTTCAGGGCTGTGCAGCTTAGGTGGGTTATAGGGGGATGGGTCTGGGTGGGATGCACTGAGGTTCGGTATGGACTTGTTGGGCCAAAGGGCCTGTTCCCACACTATAGGGATTCTATGATCTGTAGTTCCAAATACACATTCAAAATGAGCTGCTAACAGGGCACTAGTTAAAATACACACCAGCACTGCCTTCTGTAGAAGGTATGATTGGCCTTTCAAGATCAAAATGATAGATCCATAGCTCCACATCTAAGAAACACATCAGACTTTTGAGCTTAATACAGTATTTATTTATTCTTTAATACAGTTTAATAAACATCAAAGCCTAGATTGATTATCTGTGCTTCAGGGGTGTTATATCAGATTGTGAAATAGATGAAACCTTAGAAATCTACATGGAATGCTAATGGTATTTGCAATTTTGTATTCCATTTCTGTTTTCTTGGTCTCGTACATCTGCAGAAAAAATCCTTTTTACACTCATACCATTAATCATCCAAACATGACCATTGCAGAATAAGTAAATAACTATTAAAACTAAGGCAAAAACAGCTTTCTGTTAAGGTCTCCTCTCTTGCAGATCCTGATAAACATCAGGACTATCTTCAGATACAATAGTATCATGCCTTGCCGGCTCATTAAATAAAAGGAATGAGTTCAGTGCCAAACCAAGAACATCATGGTTGATTCCAGGTATTGGAGGATTAAGAGATGAGAGAATGCAAGGAAGGAAAATTGTTACTTTGCAGTCATAAGCTGACATTTGAGGCAAAGTACCTTGGGGAGATTTTTATGTATAGGAAGCAAACAACTTCAACGCATTTACCTAAAGATGCAAGTGATCTCAAGTTGGCTTGTCCTCAATTTTTGGGAGAATCCTTAGTCTATGCTACAACAGGCAGCAACACAATTTAGCAGAATTTCATCTACGGATAACACACTTGTAATACCTCTTAATATGGAATATTACAGAATATTTTTTCTGTGTAGAACCTGTTTCCGCTGAAACTTCATCTGCCCCTTCAATTTCCCAGTTTTACCATTTGGGTATTCCTGCACTCTGCCAGAGGAACTTGCAGGCAAGGAATTCCAAACAATTACTTTCTCTGGTCTCACTGTCAACAGGACTTGGCACAGCAGGGGGTATAGTGCTTTGAGTTGCATAGGACTACATGCGCAAAGCATCAAAGTTTAAGAGTAGCTTCAGAAACAACTAAATTATGATAAACTGAAGTAACAGAGCCCACATGCTGCTTCTCTGCAATTTTACACCAGCTTAAAGCAGTTGAGGGCTATCACTCCCTACTTGTTAACACATCTCCATCTGTTTTAAGCAACAAACCCTATCTTGTTCCCTGGGGAGGTTCAGGTAAAAAAATAATTGCACTATTTAGGACAGCTCAGTCAGCTTGAATAGTCTAGAAATAATATTTCAATTTTGTAAAATGTACAGTATTGACAAGTTGACCAATGCACCTCACCCAATTTTAATACAACAGAAATGAGATTGGAGAAGAAAATGACAACATGCACCTAGTCCAACATTTTAAACAAGTGACCACAGATAAATTGGCACTCCTGTTCTCAATCCCCACAAGTTCAGAGTGAACTGACCTCAAGCTCTCTGTATGGAGGTGTGTATTTGTGGGGGTTGGGGTGTTGGGACATTCAATCAGCTACACTATTCCCACTTTTATGGAAAGGGGGCAGAGATGAGAAAGAAGCAAATATACAAAAAAGCCTCCTATTGACTTCGAGAAGCTTGTGCAGTTTGTGAATGCCTAATGCTGCCAAGGTTGAGGTCACCTGTAATTAAAGTTTGAGAAGATCTGTAGCTCAGGTTCTGGATGAGGTTGTAGACATGCTTGCTGAGAAGACTGAGGCATATAAATATCAAGTGGGACAGAGCACCAACGCTTCACTGGAAGTGCACTCACGATGTTACCTAGCCGGATGATGAAACGTTTACAACCAAACCCACCAGCTGGGCGAGCATGTCTACAACCTCACTTGTAATTGATTAAACTACACCAGGATGAGTTCAGTCACAGTCACAGCCCCCAACTGAATCAGCTACAGGCATTCTGTTGCCGTACATCCAGTTTCTCACACTAGTCAATAACGTATTTGGCCATTTTTTAGCTGCAGCATGTCCATGTGTCAGGAATTCTGATCACCCTTTGCATGAGGTTATTTCTTCACTTTGCAAAAATCTTTTTTTAGAAGTAGTTAAGTATTCTTCCTGAAGATCAACCACTGTAGTATCATCAGTGTGTTTAACATAAAATAACAATGAAATGCAAAGCAACAAATGCAGTTATAAATAACTAGCTATCCTAAGTTTTACCTTGCTTGAAGGTTGAGGAACTGTTGAAGAAATTTGAACTTCGAAGAATTTTGAACAGCTCCACGTTGGACCTAGCTACTGAAAAGACTTTTAAAAATCCAATAAATGATGGTGGGTTCCTGGTGAACCTGAAGCTTGTTAATGAACACAAGTTAAAAGAAATGAAACTTAGTACAGCATGTAGGTAGGTCACTCTACAGCCAATGTCATATTCCCCCAGGAAATCAGATGTGGCAGAAAGCACACTATATTTCAACTGCTTGAAGCTCTCTCAGCTGTTGTAGGTTTCAACAATCTGCTTGTGGAATGGCTTCCCCAATTGAGGAGGAACACTGTGTAGAAATGTAACAAAATAGAGGACAATTTCAATACCAGCAAAAGCAATGCCATGCTCCTACTCAATCTTACTGGTGATAGGGATGAGTGGTGCTTGGGGTGAGGAGCAGAAGATTCAATAAAGAAGCACAAAGAAAACCAGTTTTTTTTATATATAAAAAAGAATATTGATCTCCTCCATATTTTTAATCTTGAATTTTTTTTTTTTTTAAATGTACACTGGCTTCAATTTATGGATTATTTCTAAGTACAGAAGCAAAATATAAACATCATCTTGCATGCGTCCCAACATTCGCAAAGGAACCAAGACTGTTAAGATTTACTGAGGTGCTGAATCAATAGCTCTTTCTCTTGTGAATAATAAAAGGTGGCACCTACTAGCCCCCTGTACACAACCTGTTCTGTCAGCCTTTATGGGAGAGATATGATAGCAAAACTTTGACACCAATGTAGCCAAGTAAATTGAAGTCACACTTTGGTGTTTTAATCCTCTCAAATGCATGCCACTCAGCACAATGTCAAGGCTATAGGGGTGCCACACTCCCTAGGACAGCCGGGATGGCTAACAAAGGGAAGAGCTGAAAGTGTTTAGCTCAAACTCCATGTATTTCAGATCTTCAAAACAAGTAACTTATTATAATTTGTGAATAAACTTCCTCTAAAACTTCTTTACAATTGTTCAAGCCTTGCAGCTCCAAACAAGGAGAAATCACAAACATTTCAGTACAAATCAAAGAAGTCAATACAATGTTCATGGATCATTTAAAAAAAATGCTTAACATCCACTGTCACAGTGTGATACCATGGAAGTACACAGCACAAAGGTTTAAACAGCAGATGGAAAAAAAGGGTTTCATTTCTAGTTAGCTTTTTGATTAAGTTGTCAGTGCTAATTTGAACTACATTGCTTCAATATTACAGCAGTGCTGTTCCAGTTAGGAAAGAGTGAAATGTGACTGTTCACTTTGACGAAATAGTAAAGGTCATCTCTTAATCCACCATTAAGTTCCTCTGCAGCTGAAAATAGCAATAAATTAAACAATTAATTTCTATTCCTCTTCCATTTCTAACAATTAGCATCTCTCCTGTAAAATACCTGTAGAAAAATCAAGAGTCAAAACCCATAAACCTTTTGATAGACAAAAAGAAAGAGCTGAAAGAAAATCCCCAATAACTTTCCTTAAATGGTCCTGAGATTTGGAGAGTGGTGTGTTCCAACTAAATGGGACCGGAGGTCGATTACCAAGGCACTGGATTTAAACGTGCCAACACAAGATTGTTCAAGAAATGGGCAGTTTCCAAAGGAATCAAACTTAAACTTAATACAAATGGTCTCACTTGAAAGCTCAATGAGCAAGACAGGCCAAAGGTTATTGAAACCTGCCAAAAATCGGAAATGTTACTCTGCCTCAAACTGTACTAGACACCAGTCAAGTACCAGTTTATTCAAAAACTTATTTTATTAGAAGAAACGTTTCGTTGCAAGTGCTACTATTTGGTGGCACTCTCACCAAGTTATAAAACTACAGCACATCTTGGAAGACAGAAGAACACTGAATACATGAAACGACCATCACCACTCCTTTAGATTCACTGCTCATGGAGTATTCACTGAGTTGCTGCCACTTGAAAAAATAAATGCAACAGCGCATCCTCACAGCTTTAAAATACTTTCTAACTGCTACCATTTACTAGTTTCCATAAACTTGAGTACTGCTGAAAAGAAAGATATTTTGTTAAAGCTTTTCATCTTGCACTCATCAAGACAATTGGCAAGAAATACCAAAGGAAACAGGAAACATCTATACTGTATGGGAGAAAAGTGCTGATTGGTTGGCGAGTAGACTCTGGTTGAGGCATTACCATGGAGAATGTACTAGATAACGATGACTGACACTTCTTTACCAACTAAGTTTTATTTAAATTTTAAACAAGGCATGTTGACTCTGATTGGTAAGGCATTGCCTTGAGAAATGAACCAAAGAATGGCAGTCGCATACTTTGTTGCTTTGAAACAGAAGCAGTGTGGGTAGATGTTCTTTTCACCTGTAAAGAACTGGGCTATTTGGGCTCACAGTATGGCTAGTTTCATATTCCAAAACCTGCAATTGGTAATTCAGAGAAGCCAATTCTTTTAGACTGAAAGAAGGTGCACAAACATACACTGCACCTGTTTCAATACAATAAAATATGTGACAGTCATTCTCTGGTTCATTTCTTGAGTCAATCAGAATTAAACTGCCTTGTATAAAACTTAAACAAAGCACAGCAATTAAATGTCAATCATTAACAGCTGTATTCTTCATAGCAACACCCCAACAAATCAGAATTCACTTTCCAACCAATCAACATTCTCTGATTATACAGTATAATTGTTGTTTTCCCTTTACTTCGGAATATCTTGCAAATTGTCCTAATGAGTACAAGAGAAAAACTTTGACAAATGTGTCCTTTTTAAGCAAGTTTTGTATTATCAAATGGCTACTAATTTCCATAAACCTGGGTGTCCATATCCCTGCCATCATACTTTGCATCAAGCCTGTACAACTTAGGTACTGTTTGATCACCCAGTTCAAACTTACACAATGCTCATCTAATATCTGCATCAGGAAAGGCAGGCTGCCAGTGAACCTAAGGTTCAGAAATACAGATAGGTACTGACTGATACTGACCTAACAGATTATACTATGTTGGAGGAGAAAGATAGAGAAAAAGGAAAGATCTTCAATATCACACTGCTGCACATGGACTGTGCTTTCTATAAGACTGGGTTGAAGTTCTGTAAGCCTTTTTCCTTTGTAGTGCAGTCTTTGGGAATTCAAGAAAAAAAATTATAACACATTTTGTAAGGCAACTACAGCCAACACAAATTGTTTAAGGTTTTCTGTTTCAGCACATTAGATATCCAAGATTCTAGGGGCTCTGTAAAAATCACTGAGTTGTGAGAGGTTGGGAGAACAGCTTTTGTTGCTGTTGCTAAGAATGCTATTCTGTATTCTATACACCTGTTTTTGGACTGACTTGTACATCAGTTCAATTGTTATTAAGTAAAACTAAAATAAAGACTCTTCTCTAATATTCTAATTTCCTTTATGAGACTAACAGACATGAGAGAAGGGATCTTGGTTCCTAAGGGTGTGGCAATACTTGCAGATGTCTTGGAACACATTAGCATTTGCAGGGCTCCCTCACACAACTGGCGTCATGAATAGCACCTACGGAAATCTTAATGGACCAGACATTGCTTCATAATGCAAGCTTCTGGCATGCAAGATTCAATACAGAATTAGAGGTACAACAAAAGTTACCCTTCTTCTGTTTAGTGCTCTTCGCAGAGTAATGTCACTGCAATAACATAAAGGTACTGGTCTTGGTGCATGCATAATAATTACAGAGACTCTGCGCACCAACACATCTGCATTACCATTAGCTGTTTCTGATTTTACACAGATTCTTTAAAGTCATTCTAGCCAGATAGCTAAATCAGCAATACTGTCCAGTCAGTACCTCCAAAAAGGTGGTTCTGATGAGTTTTAGAACAAAAACCCCAGGCTTGGGGAATTATGCTGTGCTATAGTAGCGTACCAATTTTTTTTATCCGCCATTTAAGTGGAGTTTTTAAGCCATTTAAATTAAGCACATTAAGGCGTCCGCTAGAACAGCAGCAAAACGGAATTTTGCCCAAACACATGAAGTGCTTGCGTTTTATACCGCACAACACAATTTCAAAACCACTAAATATTTACCATCCTTAAAATAAGCATGTAGTTGGTTGTGAATCCCTCACTCAGTAGACTTATTTTAACAGGTCTTCTCATTTCAGACTGTCAATCAGCTACATTAATAAGAATGTACTGAATTAAAGGTGCTAAAGTTGGCAGCTGGCTTCTTAAGAGCAAAAATGGGACTGTGCTGGACCAACCTCCCGCACAGTTACGACAATAGCATTCTATTACTTTGTTCGGTAATGAACAAGGGTTGCAGTGATGAATTAAGATATGCCATCAAGGTACAGTCCCTGGATAGTCTGCTACAGTAGGTACATAGAGACAGCAGTGAATGTCCCATATATTCTCTGTTTGCCGTTGCTGTTTTTCACTCGAAGGTCTGCCCATTTTGATCCTTCTGTCGTTTCCTTTCTGCCAACCACTGCTGAATTTTCTCTCGCATTTCTGAGTTTGCTTTGATCTGATCCATCGTGAGTGGACTACGATTGAATGGGTCAGTCTGATCACTGAAGCAAAACAGAACAGAAATCAGAATTAGTGCTTTGGGGGGATTTAAAATACGAAGACAGTAAACAATGCAAATGAAATTCACTGCCTTCAAATACCGCCATCGATGATAAACCCATCTGGGTTGCAAACAGGTTCCACTCTTGAATACTTTCGTAAGTTGGTCTGTACAAGTCGGAACACAATACAGTACAAAGTAGCTGTTCATAAGTACTAGGAAACATTCAGACGTCTGATCTTTAAAATTAATATTTATACATTCCTGTAGGGGGCTCATTCGTAAGAATGAGTGTCCGTAAGTCATACGTACATAAATTGTAGATCGTCTGTGCTGGAATTTACTTTTCCCCTTGCACCCAAATTCCTTACCTGAGGAGATGCCTAGCAATGGTTGACCTGTCAACTGTCACCCGGGAAGAGGGCAGTATAACTGGATCAGTCATCACTGTGCTCATTATTGGATCAAGGAATTCATCTGGTGCATCGACAAATGTTTCCTCTTCCTGCTGTTGCAGGTCTGCAAAAGACTGATTGACAGAGCATCAGTGTTACCTGTGGTCAAGAACAGCATCATAAACAGTAGGCAATAGTCATGAACTAAGGCTCTGCTCAAAGACAACCTCATTTGGAGCTCCGACTCAGAGACACAAAGGAAAGACTTACTACAAATATTGATGTACATGTCAACTTTGACACCTCGAAAAATCCCAACTAAAGTGAATCAAGCATGAGGGGCTGCTGTTTTGAAATGCCATTAGCACTTGACACAAAGAGTGGTACATCTTAAACACCCCCATTTCTTCACAACACAGCTTATATTGCCTATTGATCCCTTGTATCCAGTTATAAAGTACTGATAAGTAAGACATTAATTTGTGGGGTAAAAAATTGAAGCTGACTCCTGATGCAAGTATAGCATGTTGTGGCTGGTAATACAGTTTTTCCAAACTAATGTCAATGAACCCTGTAGAAGGCCAAGTCATTCACCAGATATTGTGCCCTCCTGACGTTTCTGTGCCACTGTTGCTCAGTGACAGTAAAGCCAAGGAATTACCCATGACATAGTGCTAGTTATCAATTTACCAAGGCAGGAAAGTAGGAGTCAGTCTGTTTTCCACAACTGTTTATTTACATTGCTCATTTCAACACAACCACCAGCCTGTTCTCTCCCCTTCCTAATCAACTTCCCTTATTACAGAAAATCAGCCCCGAGATATTTTCTAATCAACTGGCTCAGAGATGTTAGTACACATCTCTAGAGCAGGCAGGACTTGAACCCAGGTCTCCTAACTCAGAGGTAACAACACTACCACTGTGCCACAGCAGCCCTAAAACCAGCCCTTAAATATTTTCTAATCAACCCTGTTCAGATATGGTGTTACACACTTCAGGAGCAGGCAGGATTTGAACCTGAATCTCCTGGCTCAGAGGTAGGGACACCAGCACTGTGTCACAACAGCTCTAAAATCAGCCCTTAGATATATGCATCCAATAAGCATCCAGCTGTTCTATTATTTCTGCAGGATGTCCTGATTCCTTCTTAAAGGGATTATCACTTACAACATTGTCATGACATACCTTTACTTTATCAGCCAGGTCACTGAATGCCATGATCATGTCGCCTGGCTTGTTGATCTTCTTCAGCACCCTCACAGTCTGTGCAAACAACATTGGGGAATAGGAGCGTCCATCCTTTGGCACAGTGGCACAGAAACTCTCTTTCACTCTGATATAGGAACACAGGGAGGAGTTTAGAATTAATAGTGGAGGCAGCTGATTATTTCTAAATATTTTACTTGGCTTCAATCTTAAATATCAAGGACAGGGTGAGTAAGTTTATGTGCATTTGCATTCTTGCCCAGTAACTAAAAACAAAATTCAGATATGGAATGTTATGCTTTGCAAGTTTGTGCATTTAAACAACGGCAATCCCAACACAGGATCAAAACGTTGAAGGATACTCTACTTCAGTTCAGACGAATTGCATTCAACTTGAGATATCAACAATATTTCTCTCCACTGCAAGATCTGCTCAGTATTCCAGTACCTTCTCTGTTTTTACTTCAGATTTACAGCATCCTGTGTATTTTGTTTATATTCTAATATTGTTGTTTAATGATACTCATTTGGCTCTGTTCTCACATATCTTTTACTAGCTGGTCACATAGAGGTAGGAAACTTCAAAGACCATCAGTAGCTTGACTTTTAATTTCCTCTACATTATTTTCATATGCACTGGATATTCACATGAATAGAAACCCTTGTTTATCCAATTTAAAGTAATCACTACTGTGATGATTTAAAAGCATGTTAAAATGGCATGCAAACCAACCTAACAATTGAGAGGGAATATACGCAGAGATTGAAAGGATTTGAGGTGAGAGAAGGGAGGAAATTATTTTGTTGTATTTTCTACTATCGCAACTCTTAATTGCAGTAATAACTCTGATGTAGAGTAAACATTTCCAAGGATAAAGTGCCAGACCACAGGTTATATCTTTTGCAGCATTCTCAGCTCTCAGAATCCTCCTTACAGTCTTTTGTAATTAGGCATTAACTTGCCATATTCCAAGCCAGAGCAGGGTCTAGCAATTTGTTAAAAGTTGGAATTTGTATTTTGTTGAACTGTTGTCACTTACCCCAGGTTCAAATAGATGGTGCAAATGTCAGACACCAACTGTTGTGGCTTAAAGTCAAACTCACTGAAATCCTTCACCTTGAGGGCACCCATTTTAGGTCCAACTAAGTGCTGGAGAAAGTAGTTCAGCATTGAGATGATCCGCTCAGCAAGGATGGGGTGCACACACAATGCCTTGATTTCTGTTAGAGGGAATCATGATGGATAATTAAAATATTAGTCCTTTGCTAGCTTTCATATACAAACATATTTCCTCCAAATTTCCCTCCTCTCCTGTTCATGCCAATTCTTGCTAGAGTAGATTTTCAAGGTACAGTGATAATGCACCAGAACAATTCCCATATGGGCTATTATTCATCCTTTTGCCCAATTGCTGGCACATGGCTTAACTCGTGACAAAGTCACAACTGAGCTCAGATCTGTCTTCATTCAATGCCCAGGGTCAATGAACAGTGGCTTGGAACAAAAAGATGTATCAGAATTTCCCCATTCCAACCCATGGCACATAGGCCAGCAGCAACATCCCAACTGCTGCCATGCTGAATTCAGCTAAATCAGCACAGTCTAACAATCACATTTTGGACTCTCTAGTTTGTGGACTTATTTTTGTTGGGTAGGAGTAACTAGGGATATGGAGTTATGGGAGTAAATAGAGTTGAGGTATAGATTAGCCACAACCAAACTGAAAGACAAAGCAAGTTTCAAAGGGCTGAATGACCTCTTACTGATAATTGATTGTCTAGTAGGGCATAAACAGTAGTTTAAGATTGCACAAATGTGGTTCTAACTACTAAAGTGGCACAGCAGTAATATGTAGCAAATTAGTAGTGAGCCAGATCATGAGCGATCCCAAAATGGGAACACGAACTTGCCTGAGCGGCAGCTACTTCAAAAAATGGAATAAATTCACAGTACACTCTGGGCAAAAGCAGTGAATATTCTTCAGGAGACCGTTACCTACAATCCCACTTTACAACTTGGTTAATATACTGCAGGATTAAGGTTATTATTAAGCATTCATGTGGAAAAATTATTTGCTGTCTTTAATTCTGGAGCAGCCTTTATGTTCACTGCTTTCCTGGCAGAACATCTTTGCAATGCTTCTCTACTACAGAATAATGTTTCATAGCAAGCACTCTAATCCTTTTGCCTTTCTGCTTTCCACTGTATTCAGTGGGAATCAGACAGCAAGAGTAAGGATCAGCTTTATGAACATCAAATTAGAAGCAGGTTTTGGCTATTGGCTCCTCCAGCGTGCTCCATCATTCAACAAGATCATGGCTGAGCTGATTGTGGCCTCAACTTTATTTTGCTGCCTACTCCTACAACCTTCAATTCTTGATTAACAAGAGAATCAATCTATGCTGACTTAAAAATATTCATGACTGTCCCTCCTCCATGCTCAGGGGAGCAGAATTTCACAGATCCAGTCAGAGAAAACATTTCTCTCTAATCTCCATCTTAAATGAGACCCTGGAGTTTTAAACAGCTATGCTCTGGTTCTAGTTTCTCCCACAAGGTGGAACATTCTTGGAATTGTCAACAGAACTGATTGTTTACTGAAAATTAGGACACACCATTTAGGGCATCAAAAAACAGCCATACAGATGGAGAATTAAGACCATATGACCATAAGACATAGGAGCAGAAATTAAGCCATTCGGTCCATCGAGTCTACTCCGCCATTCAATCATGGCTGATAAGCTCCTCAACCCCATTCTCCCGCTTTCTCCCCGTAACCCTTGATCCCCTTGATAATCAAGAACCTATCTATCTCAGTCTTAAATGTACTCAATGACCTGGCCTCCACAGCCTTCTGTGGCAGTGAATTCCATAGATTCACCATTCTCTGGCTGAAGAAGTTTCTCCTTATCTCCATTCTAAAAGGTCTTCCCTTTACTCTAAGGCTGTGCCCTCGGATCCTAGTCTCTCCTACCAATGGAAGCATCTTCCCAACATCCACTCTGTCCAGGCCATTCAGTATTCTGTAAGTTTTCATTAGATTCCCCCCTCATCCTTCTAAACTCCAATGAGTATAGTCCCAGAGTCCTCAAACGTTCCTCATATGTTAAGCTTTTCATTCCTGGGACCATTCTCGCGAACCTTCTCTGAACCCACTCCAGGGCCAGTACATCCTTCCTGAGACATGGGGCCCAAAACTGCACGCAATACTCCAAATGTGGCCTGACAAGAGCCTTATAAAGCCTCAGGAGTACATCCCTGCTTTTATATTCAGACTTAATGGGGAAAATTCAGCAAGGCAGCACTTGGGGTGGGTGTGGGTGGGTTGGGGGCTGAGGTGCATGCATGTAGAGATGATATTGGTTCTTCAGGAGCACATCAATCTCAGACTTATGCTCCTATTGAGCAAGGTATCATACTGGGATCGCAGCTTCAAATAACCTGCTCTGATCTCGAGAGGCTTGAAATCCATCCAGTTACAGATTCTTGTTGTGGGCACGAATATGAACCGTGTTTCCTCCGAAAGGAAAACAGATAACTTTCCCACATTTACCTATTTATGCCCTTTATATTTTTTTATAGCCTGAGACTTGCAGAAAAGGATGGGCAGATGCATGTTTCAACTAGTGGTCATGCTACACCAAACACGTTCCTACAGCTTTTGGGAAGCATCACAACTTCAGCTCTTGGAAGGATGGATGATGGCATGAGTGAATGGATTGTAATTTAAAATTGCGCAGTTCCCTGGGGGCTTCTCAGCCATGCTAAATTTCGATGTTAAAATACTTGACTTGTACTCAGATCAGTATTTCAGCCATTTTTTTCCCCAGCTAAATAGACTTATATATTTTAAAAACAAAAACAGAAATTGCTGGAAAAGCTCAGTGGGTCTGGCAGCATCCCAGAGTCAGAAACAGACCCTTCAGTCCAACTCATCCATGCCAACCAGATATCCAAAATCAATCTGGACCCATTTGCCAGCATTTGGCCCACATTCCTCTAAACACCTCCTATTCATGTACTCATCCAGATGCCTTTTAAATGTTGGAATGGTATCAGCCTCCACCACTTCCTCTGGCAGCTCATTCCACTCACGCACCACCCTCTCCGTGAAAAAGTTGCCCTTGGGTCCTTTTCAAATCATTCCCCTCTCACCTTAAACCTTTGCCCTCTAGCTTTGTACTCCGTTACACTAGGTAAAATACCTTGGCTATTCACCCTAACCACCCCTCAGCCTCCGACGCTCCAGGGAAAACAGACCCAGCCGATTCAGCCTCTCTCTAGAGATCAACTCCTCCAACCCTGGCAACATCCTTGTAAATTTTTTCTGAATCCTCAAGTTTCACAATATCCTTCCTATAGCTGGGACACCAGAATTGAACACTTTATTCCAAAAGTGGCCTCACCAACATCCTGTACAGCCACAGCACAATCTCCCACCTCCTATACTCTACACGCTGACCAATAAAGGCAAACATCCCAAAAGCCTTCTTCACTATCCTGTCCACCTGCAACTCCACTTTCAAGGAACTGTGAACCTGCACTCAAAGGTCTCTTTGTTCAGCAACACTCCCGGATCTTAAGTGTATAAGTTCTGCCCTGATTTGGCTTTCCAAAATGCAGCACCTCACATTTATCTAAGTTAAACTGAGAGAAATCAGAGTTAACGTTTCAGGTCCACGGCCCCTCCTCAGAACTCAGTCACCGGACCCGAAACGTTAACTCTGATTTCTCTCCACAGATGCTGCCAGATCTGCGGACCTTTTACAGTAATTTCTGTTTTTGTTTCTGATTTCCAACATCTGCAGTTTTTGTTCAGTTTTTATTATATATTTTAAAGTTAATTTGTTAATTTGCCTTTAAATTTCGTAGAGTCTTAACCTATAGGAGGAGAGAATTCGGCTCACCTTGCCCGTGCTAGTTCTGTGAAAGAACAATCTGGTTAATCCTTGTCTCCCATTCTTTCACCAGAAAACCTACATTTTCTTGCCCCCATTTCATGCATTTATCAAATCGCCTTTTGAATGTTACTATTGAATCTGCTACCACTGTTCTTTCAGAACATGCCTTCTAGACTGCAGCAATTTGCAAGTTGTTGGTGAATTCAGCTTCATTACATCAAATTTTAATCTTGTCAATTGCTTAAAAACACAAGCTATATTTTACAGCCCCTACAGATTTATCAAGCACTCAGCCAGTAAACAACAGGAGATCCAAATCTGCCTGGTGTTTACAAAAACCCAAATGCCATAACCTTTCAAGCTCATGTCAAATCCCAAAGCTCCACTCCATTTGTTTTCCCTTCATTGCAAATGTACTGACCTGAAGTAAGGAATGCCAAAGTACCGATCGTTTCATTAGACATAATGTTATGAAAACGAGCCAGCTGTCCAAACATCTGAAGGTTGCCCTCCTTTTCCCTCCGAGCTTCGGGGGGCAAGTTATCCCAGTCACCTCTGTCCTTCTCAATCTGTTGGATTTTAATCTTGCTTAAATACTGCAAAGTTTAACAAAAAAAAGCCTTCAAATAACAAACTGCACTCGCTCATGACACAATTTTCAAATTTAAAATGCTCATGGAGACAGAATCAAAACACTATTAACCTTCAGTCTGTAATACCACTTGCCAGTTTGCTGCAATTATCTTACTTGCTAATGATTCTTAAGACCAATCAGATATGCAACTGTTTATCGCCACTTCAGTTGCCCCACTGGTTTACTGGAGAAATACACCATGTGGTGCTGTGCCACACTTTACAAAGGCGAAAGCAACACCTGCAAATCCATAATTTATGCTGTCAGACAATTTCAACTAAGGCACGTCTCCAGGCACTGTCACCACCCCCAACGTATCAAGACCAAGGAAGAAAGAGAAGAACAAAGTCAACCTGCCCGAATCATTTGGGAATTTTAGCTGATAAATCCAGATGTGTGACTAGGCTCAACTATGATGCTCTCAACAATCCAATTGTCTGGTGCCACTCAAATTAAGAATCGCTATTTTAGAGGGGATCCTTGGGAAATTGTATCCCAATAACGAGTCGAGGAGAGGAGGGAAGAAAAATGGAAAATAATACAATGTTACTACATTCCTAATTCTGTGTCTTCACTATGTTTTCTTAATGTGAGGAGAGACAAGTGTGCACCAGACTGATGTTAAAACAGGAATAAAAGCACTAATCTACCTGGATAGCTTCATCCAACAGAAAGATGGCATCATTGATGAGCAAATTGAGAAATCGGAGAAAAAGAGGAGGGTTCATTGCTTCCAAATTGTCAAATGCATAGTCAGCTAAAGTCTGTAAGGTAAACACAAACAGGACAAATAATTCAAAGTTGCAAGTCTGATAACAACTTAGGCCATTGCATTACTAAAGTTGTTGAGAGAATTGCATGTTAAAAAATGCTGAGATTGTAGATCTGAACTTCTAGGAGGACCTTCACTACCACATCAAGGTTAATGCACCTATTCATTAAATTTAAATGAATAAAAACCAAAAGAACTGCAGATGGTGTAAATCAGGAACAAAAACAGAAGTTGTTGGAAAAGCTCAACAGTTCTGGCAGCATCTGTGAAGAAAAAAATCAGAGTTAACATTTTGGGTCCAGTGACTCTTCCTCAGGACTGATGGTAGCTGGGAAACCGTTGGTTTATTGCAGAAAATAAGGGCGGGGGGTGGGGGGGGGCGGCGTTGCGTAGAGAGTAAACAATAAGAGAAAGGATAGAGCCCGAACAGAGAGAACAGCAGTTGGATAGGCAAAGGAGTTGATAACGACCTGGCTAGGAGAGTGAATAGTTGTTAGTGACTAACAATAGGTAGTGTGTAATAACAAGGCCTGGTGTGTGGGGTAGGGGGCTAGGACATGGGAAGGTTTAGACCCTAAAATTATTGAACTCGATATTGAGGCCAGAGGGCTGCAGGATCCCCATGCGGAAAATGAGGTGTTGTTCTTCCAGCTTGCATTGAGCTTCACTGGAACGCTGCAGCGAGCCAGAGACAGAGATGTTGGCCAGGGAACAGGGTAGTGTTTTAAAGCGACAGGCAACAGGTAGCTCAGGGTCCCTTTTGTGAGCAGAACGCAGATGTTCTGTGAAACGGTCACCCAGTCTACACTTGTTTCCCCAGTGTAGAGGAGACCACATTGTGAGCAGGAAATGCAGTAGACTAGATTCTGGGAAGTGCAGGTGAAGTGTTGCTTCACCTGGAAGGTATTTTTGGGCCCTTGGATAGTGTAGAGGGAGGTGGTAAATGGGCCGGTTGCAGGGGAAGGTGCAGTGGGCATGTGCTGTTGGGGGTGAAGGAAGAGTGCACTAGGGTGTCCTGGAGGGAATGGTCCCTGTGGAAGGTGAACTTATGTCTTTTTCAAGATGAGCGAAATTGGTGTTGGAGAATGCATTATCCAGGACAGACATGGCTCAGCTGCTTTTGGCACTCCAAAAGAAGCAACAACATAACAAATTAATTATGTTCATCATACTCAATCCAACATTGGCCTTGCATCCCATGATTAGAAAGAATCACCTGCTGCATGAATGTGACATTAAATCAATTTCCCACACTAGCCATATAGTCTCACACTTGGATACTAAACCAAGAGCATCAGGTCAAATTTCAAACTAGTTAGACAATGAGCCAAACCAAATTCTAAATTCAAATCAAACTTGACAGGTAGTTTTCTGTGTATTATCCATATATAACAACGACTGCAAATGACTCGACAGGTGTTTTGCAATAGTATTGTGCTTTAAAAATTGCTACACACACTTGAATGTGCAGATTATGATCCAAGAAGCCAATCAGAAGATCCCCTGCTAGAAACAATGCATGTAATTTCCACACGGTCTTCATTCTCTCTTCTTCCACTGACTTTTTTTTTATTGTTCGCTATGACTGGACTACAAAATGTGAGCAAAGGTGATATAGCCTGTGTTGGGAAAGCTGAATATCATTAACTCAATTATTTAGTGTTCTGGGTAAAAAATATATAGCTGCACCTCATTTCAACCTTGACAGTGGAATAAAATCAAAGTAGCGCTTGTGGTGCAGAGTCAGTATCCCTGCCTCTGAAACAGGTTCAGGTCAAATTTGCACCAGAGGTGTATCATAACATACCTCAAAGGTGACTAAAATATCCAAAAGTAAAGTAGTTCCTAAAACCTAGGGTATTATGTCTAAATTAGTTCAAATAGATTGAATTAAAGAAGCATACTTAGTACATAATGTGATGGGCTAAGAAAATACATTTAAACATACTCAATTAAAATAAACAGACCTTGATGCTTTGCCTGTAGTGATCATATCCCCACATATATTTCAGGATAGGATACATGGGCCGCCTGTAGTTAAACTTCTGTTCAAACTGATGTGGGTCACCTAGAAGCAGATAAAACATAAACAGTGATAAGTTTCAGAATTAAAACTGGTCTCTCATTGTTAAGGAGTTAGCTGACTTCAGGTGAAGTTGCCAGAGTGGGAACTTGACTCATAAAGGATATGATACGATGGAAAAGGCAGATCTTTGGAACACCATCAGACCATCAATCAGTGTTGGCACCTGCAGCACTGGTAATGTGATGCTCATGCTGCTGCCTACTTACTGAAATTTCAGACAGAGATGAGATTCTGCCCATCTCTTCTCATTATCCAGAACCAACCTTCATCCGTTCTGCAGACCAGAGTATCCAACTTTTCTAATCCTGGGCTTTTCTTTGATACCTAAGGTATTCAAAACTGCAAACACTCATGAAGAATTCAAACTTCATTCCTCCCTTACCTTTCCACATCGTGACCATGCAACCATATCTCCTATTGCTATCGTAGAGTTTATATGGCACTCTGGATTTGCCTTCTCTATACCCTTGTCTATTTTATGAAGATGTGATCTTTTTTCTGTTATTCTGTATCACTCCTGACAACCAACTTTCCTCTAATCTTTCTTTGTTACTCAATTCTCAGATAGGGAAAGGTTGAATAGATTGGGGCTATTTTCTCTGGAGCGTCAGAGGCTGAAGGGTGAACTTATAAAACTTTGTAAGGTCATGAGGGGACAGATAGGGTGAATAGCCAAGGTCTTTACCCCAGGTTAGGTGAGTCCAAAACTAGAGAACATAGATTTAAAGTGAGAGGGGAAAGATTTAAAAAGGGACCTAAGGGACAACTTTTTCACATAGATGGTGGTGCGGGTATGGCATGAACTGCCAGAGGAAATGATGGGAGGCTGGTAGAACTACAATACACCCATCCAGATGCCTTTTAAATACGAATAAGAAGGGTTTAAGAGAGATATAGGCCAAATGCTGGCAAATGGGACTAGATTAATTTAGGATATCTAGTCAGCATGGATAAATTGGACTGCACGGTCTGTTTCCATGCTGTACATCTCTATGACTCAGTCTTGCAGGCTTGACTCTGCTCTTGGTCTTAATTGCTCTGTGCCTTCATGAGAGGATCTGAACAAAGTTGTCCTTGGTTCTATTAACACTTTTAATATAATCTGCCTGCCACTCTGCATTTCTGGTGATCCAATACTATTCACCAGCCGAAGCCACAGAAAGGTCACTCATTCCCCCCTCCAATTATCTTGCTTGGAAATACTTTGCTCTTGCTCAGTAATTTCCCAGTCACAATTTAGGACATAGAGAAGGTCAGGCATTAAATTAGGAGTGTGAATGTACTATAGCCAAGTTTGCAGATGACCCAAAAATATGCAGGAAGGCAAGTGGTGACAATGGCACACAGAGTCTGCTCAGGGAAAAAAAAACGATTAAGTGACAGGGAAAAATCTTGACAGATGGAATATAACATTGGGAAATGAGGTTATACACTTTAGCAGAAAGAATAGAGGAACTGTACGTTACTTAAATGGGGAAACATGGCAGAAAGCTACAGAACAGAGGGGTCCGGGAATCCTTGTCCATGAATCACAAAAAGCTAGCATCCAAGTTCAGCAGGGAATAGGGAAGGCAAAGAGAATGTTGGTCTCTTTTTCAAAGGGAATAGAATATAAAAGTAAGGAAATTTTGCTAAAACTACACAAAGCACTAGTCAGACCTCAGCTGGAATACTGACAGTAGTTTTGGGTACCTTATGTAAAGAAAGGCATACTGCCGTTGGAGAGTCCAGAGGTTTACCAGGCTGATACCAGGTAATGGGGAACATGTCTTATAAGATGAAGGCCTGTGTAACCTTTAGAATTGAGAAGAATGAGAAGCAACCTTATTGAAAAGACAAAGTTCTTAGGAAACTTGATAGGATGAATGCAGAAATGTTATGCTCCCCAGTCTAGGAACAGACAGCACAATCCCAGAATAAAGGGGCGCCCATCTAACACAGGGCTGAGGAGGGATTTATTCTCTCAGGGGGTAGTAAATCTGTGGAATTCTTTACCAGCAAGGACTGTTGAGTATTAAGTATTGTGACAATACTACAGCTTTAAGAAGTATATTTTGTGGTGTTATTTTTGGAGAGGTTTTACAATAGAGGTGCCAAGTTGACACTTCCAAGACAATAAAGTAAACAGCTTGAGGGGCCCTGGGTCTTTTTTAAGTTAGATTAATAAAAACAGCATGAAAGGGTGGAGTCTGGTTCGTGCAGAATCAGGGTTTTAGTATAGATTTCAATTGCTGGTGTTTTGAAGTTGGTTGTGCAAGCTGCCATACATCTCTGTTTAGTTAGTTAATTGTTAGTTACTGTTTAGTAGTTAAATAATTTATTATTCTGTTAAGTTTTCCAACAGCATTAAAGTTACATCAATTCTTTCTTGTTTGTACTTTAATTGGGGGTAAGAATAAAGTGTGTTTGCTTAAAGTCAAGTAATGTGACCAAACCAATTACATCTAGAACACAGCATCCTACACTTGCCTTTAAATAAGATAAAAGTTAGGGTCTAGGCTATCTCCTGGATATATTTGAAGGGGGTTTGATCTGGTCCATAACAGTAAGGCTGTTAAGTATATTCAAGCCTGAGATATACAGATTTTTAATCAATGGTAATAGAGAAAAGGAAGGAAAATGGAGTTCAGGATCAACAGATCTGCCAAGATTTAAGAGTCACAGGGCATGGAAGCAGAACCTTGGTCCTATTCATCGATGCCAAACAAGATTCCAAAACTAAACTAGTCCCACTTGCCCACCTTTGGCCCATATGCCTCTAAACGTTTCCTATTCGTGTACTTATTCAAAGGTGTTTTAAATGTTGTAACTGTACCTGCATCTACCACTTCCTCTGGCAATTCATTCCACATACAAACCACCCTCTGTGTAAAAAAGTTGCTCCTCAGGTTCCTTTTAAATCCTTCCCCAGTCATCTTAAAATTATGCCTCCATATTTTGAACTCCTCCAGCCTAGGGCAATGGCCTTTGCATTTCATCTTATCTATGTCCTTCATGATTTTATAAACCTCTATAAGATCACCCCTCACTTCCTATACTCCAGCAAAACGTCGTCCTGGCCTATCCTTATAACTCAACCTCTCCAGTTCCTAGCTACATCCTGGTAAATCTTTTCTGAACCATCTCCAATTTAATAATATCCTTCTTATCGGAGGGCAACCAGAACTGTACACAGCACTCCAAATGTGGCCTCACCAACGTACTGTATAACGTCAACATGACATCTCAACTCCTATACCCAATGGTCTGAGCAATGAAGGCAATCATGCTAAATGCCAGCTTAACCACTGATTATCTATGATGCAACTTTCAAAGAAATACGTAACTGAACCCCTAGGTCTCTCTGTTTGACAAAACTACCAGTTAGGGAAGAGATGGCTGAGCGCTTGTACAGATACTTGTATCATGTATAGCCATGGGTGAGGTGCAGAAAAACTAGAGGTAGGCTAATTTGGTACCATTATTTAAGAACGGTGGTATGGAAAAACCAAGGAACTATAGACCAGTGAGCCTGACATCAGTGGTGGGCAAGTTGTTGGACAGGATTCTGAGGGATAGAATTTACATTCACTTGGAAAGGCAAGGACTGATTAGGGATAGTCAACTTGGCTTTGTGAGTGGGAAATCATGCCTTACTAACAAGCAAGTTTTTTGAAGAAGTGACAAAGAAGTTTGATGAAAGCAGAATGATAGATGTTGTCTATATGGACTTCAGCAAGGCATTCAATAAGGTCCCGCATGGAAGTTTGGTTAGATCAGATGGAATCCGGGAGGAGTGAGCTAATTGGATATAAAATTGGCTATTGTACCATCCCATCAAGGTGGATCATCCCCTTCTTATTTCTGAGTTCCACACATATAACTTCATTGGATAACCCCTCAAAAAAATCCAAAGTACAGTTGTAATGTTTTCCTTAATTAAAAATGCCACTCCTCCTCCTCCTCCTTTCTTATCTCCCTTTCTATCCTTCCTATAGCATCTAAACCCTGAAACATTAGCTGCCAGTCTTGTCCCTACCTCAGCCATGTTTCTGTAATAGCTCTCACATCCCAGTCCCACGTTCCCATACAAGCCCTGAGTTCATCTGCCTTACCTGCAAAACTACATTTATTTCAAAGCATGGGGTCTAATTCTTCAGAGTTACAGCGTTCCACGATTTGCTCTTGCCTGCCTTTTCTAATTAACTTGCTCTTTTTTAAATTCAGAACCATCCTCATCTGCCTTTCTATTCTCACAACTACTTAGGAAGACAGATTTCTTTCCCAGGAGGGCATTAGTGAACCAGATGGATTTTTCTAATAGTAAGAGAAAATAGTCTATTCGACTAGCTTTTGCAATTCTAGATTTTATTGAATTCAAATTTCCCCATCTTCCATGGAAGGATTCAAATCCATCTCCCCAGAACATTAGCCTAAGGATCTGGATTACCACTACTCCACCACCTTCCCGTTATGGCCAGCATCGCAATCTTGCCCAATCCTGTTCTCAATCAAGATCTGCATAAATATTTCCTGGAGCAGTTCTGTCTGATTTTATCCCCTATTGAATCCGGGTGGTGTGTTAATTTTAATTCCCTTTGTGCTTTCTCAACTGAGAACAACTCTCACAGCACAGAACAGGCTCTGAATGTGGTCTTTGTGAGGTTCCTTTATTTTAAAAACAGTATTGATAGACAGAAGCAAAAGCTTCTTTAGTTAACTTTAACTAAACTTAACTTTAGTACGGTTACTGTCTTGAAGTAATCTCTATTCATAGACCATTAGCACAACCCCAGAACTCCTCTACTAAAGATCTGAAAGTACAAGTATGAGCCATGTGGAGCACATCTGGATTTGTAACATTATGCAATCATATCAAAATAATTAAGTCATTTGTCTTTTTTTTTAAATGTCTTCTAAATATTTCTCATCTATACCAGATTTAAACTTGACAACGTAAGGCTCTTGTGCCATGATGATCTACTTTTTCCTTGTTGGTCAGGATAAAGGTAGAGATGCATGGTAGAGAGAAAAGTTCTGACTATCTTGTAGAACTAAAGCAAATCTTAAAGAGCTGTACTCTGCAAACTGTAGTACTCCAGCTTACTCTGCATACTCATTTATTCAAGTCTTATAACCCAGTGTACTCTGCTACCTACATTCTGAACACCTTAGCATTGATCCCTGCCTGAACGCTCGCTTTGTACATGACTACTGTAGTTCTTGTCCTGCATTCTCCTTATCCTGGCGTGTTGTTCTGGGTCTAAATGCCACAGTGACCGGCACGTAAACTAGTTTGTGTGCATAAAAATCAAATTTCATCCTGTCTGGGAAATCAACACAATTGATGGAAATATAACTTAATTCCAACAGCTTTGTCGGAAAGTAGAAGTGTACTCTCTTAAAAAATGGAAGGGTTTTGCTTATATTGTGCCTCTCTCAAAGTCAGGACATTCCAAATGTGCTTTGCAGCCAATGAAGAACTTTAGTAGTCTAGTAAACATTACAATTCTCGGGCATTTACTCTGCTCGCTTTCAAATCTACCAGTAAATTCAATGTCCACAAAAACTTTGATAAGTGCTTCAGCAAGATAGTGTGCATGCTGGTATGAGCTGAAGACTCGCTGCCGATGGAACATGCTGATCATTGGGTTCTGCACTTGCTCCATGTGAGGCATCACAGCCTCAAGAACCTCAGCCAGCTTCGCTCGCAAATGAGGATTCTTCATCCTAAGAGAGAACACAAGGAGGGAAGAAATTTTAAAAAAAGCCTCTCTCATCGGGCCACAAACATATCCAGTTATTCAGACAGACTGCACAGACAAACTAAATTGAACAAAATCACACAAAATATTCAATTAGACTTGTCAGAGGGTTTATTTAATGTTGTGCCTTCAATACACTGAATACAATAAACTGAAAAATATTTTAATTCAGTTGTCTCATGTGCCTTGGTATAATATGTTCAACTCAGTTTAAGCTGTTAAAATCCCAAAGGCTTGTAATACTTGTTTTACACCTTTCTCCCAACTTCAAAAGTGCAACCTTACACTTAACAGAAAATCTAGCGACAATGTGAAGCAATACTGTAGATTAAAAGATCTTTGTGTAACTCCCATTGCTCTAAATTTTACTGCGGAGAACAGCTTTTCTTGTACGCTGTTTTTGCTATTTTTTTTAGGAACATGGGCCTAGATGGAGCATTAAAATCCATTTTTTGATTATTCTCCTCACTTAAAGCAGTCAATATGCATTGATATTATTTGTACAGATATAATTAGCACCAAAATTTATGCTGGCTTCTTGAATTCAGTGAGACTTTTACCAATTATTTCAAATTGATGTTTATGTAACCCAGAAGATCATGCCTGTGCACAGAATTCCAGTTCAATGACTTGATTTGTAATACCAGTGTCCTCTAGCGCCTCAGAGAGAAACAACACTGGTCTCAGCAGATCAGTGCTGTTTCTCTCTGAGGCGCTAGAGGACACTGGCATTACAAATCAAGTGAAAAGTGAATACTGAAAGTGAAGTGCCATCCTGGGGTTGACGTGTGGAGATGGGGGTTGGTAACTATCTCATTTGGTGTAACTGTCGCAAACAAATACACATAGCAACAGGAGTTATAGCTGCAGAAACATATTTACAAGAATGCCTTTGGAGAGTGGTATGTGCTCAGCCAAAGACACTGGATTAAGGAAAGGAAAATCTGCACCTATTTTAGGCTAATTATTTCACAACAACAGAACATTTAAACGCAAAATAGTCCTCTTTTAAATAAAATCAAGTATAGCAGATAAGATTAGAGTTCTCATAACAACAACATAAAGTCAAAACTTAAGTGAGTTCATGGAATTTACAGCAGAAATATAAACCATTACTTCAAACAAATGGGTGTTCACTTTTCCATAATTCAGGGCACAGTTTTCTTCCACCCCCAATCTCTCATTGTCTTTAAGTTTCTGTTACAAGAATGTAACAAAACAGAGACAGCTTTACTGCTGAATCTCATGAGTGGAAAACTACAGCTTCCTCTAGTGGAAAGGATCAGATCCTGCAACTTAATTTATACTGCATACTGAATCTTAGTTATGGAGTCATAGCACGGAAACAGATCCTCCAGTCTAACTCATCCGCACCGACCAGACATCCTAATCTGACCTAGTCCCATTTGCCTGCATTTGGCCCATATCCCTCTAAAGCCTTCCTATTTCATATACCAATCCTGATGCCTTTTAAATATTGTATTTGTACCAGCCTCCACCATTTCTGCTGGAAACTCATTCCATACACGCACCACCTTCTGCATGGAAAAGCTGCCCCTCTGGTCCTTTTTAAAATCTTTCCCCTCTCATCTTAAATCTACGCTGTCTAGTTTTTGGACTCCCCCACCCTAGGAAAAAAGATATTAGCCATGCACCTTATCTATCCCCCTCATGATTTTATAAACCTCTATAAGGTCATCCCTCAGCCTCAGACGCTCCAGGGAAAAAAAAAACCCAGCCTATTCAACCTCTTCCTATAGCTCAAACCCTCCAGTACTGGCAAGATTCTTGTAAATCTTTTCTATACCTTTCAAGTTGAACAACATCCTTGCTATAGAAGGGCGACCAGAATTGTACGCAGTTTTCCAAAAGTGGCCGCACCAATGTCCTGTACAGCCACAACATGGACATTCCAATTTCTATACTCAATGTTATGGCCAATGAAGGCAAGCATGCCAAACACCTCCTTCACCACCCTGTCTTCCTGCAACTCCACTTGCAAGGAACAATGCACTTGAACCCCTCGATATCTTTGTTTGCCAACACTCCCTGGGATCCTACCATTAAGTGTATACATGCTGCCCTGGTTTGCCTTACCAAAATGGAACACCTCACATTTATCTAAATTAAACTCCATCTGCCACCCCTCGGTCCATCTGATGAAGATCCAATCATAATCCGAGATAATCTTCTTCACCGTCCAATATACCACCTACTTTGGTGTCATCTGCAAACTTACTAACCCATATTCACATCTAAATCATTTAAATAAATGACAAAAAGCAGTGGACGCAGCACTGATCCTTGTGGCACACCACTGGTCAGAGGCCTCCAGGCGGGAAAACCCATACAGCCATCTACCGTTCTGCCTTCATTAAACTTCCTTGTCACTTCTTAAAAAAAAACTCAATCAGGTTAGTGAGACATGATTTCCCACGCATAAAGCCACGATGACTACCCCTAATCATTCCTTGCCTTTCCAAATGCATGTAAATACTGTCCCTCAAAATCCTCTCCAACAACTTAGCCACCACTGGCGTAAGGCTCACCAGCCTATAATTCTCTGGCTTTTCCTTACAGCCTTTCTTAAATAATGATACCATATTATCCAACCTCCAGTTATCCAATACCTCACTGTTGATGATACAAATATCTCAGCAAGGAGTCCAGCAATCTTTTCCCGAGATTCCCACAAAGTTCTGGGAAACACCTGATCAGGTCCCAGGAATTTACCTACCTTTATGCATTTTAAGACCTCCAGCATCTCCTCTTCAGTGCTATGAACTCATTTCAAGACATCAATACTTATTTCCCCCCAAGTTCCTTGACTTCCAAGTCCTTCTCCAGAGTAAATACTGATGCAAAATATTCATTTAGCATCTCACCCATTTCCTGTGATTCCACATATAAATGGCCACATTGATTTTTAAGGGGTCCTATTCTCTCCCTAGTTCCTCTTTTATCCTTAATATTTTTGAAGAACCTCTTTGAATTCTTCTTAACTCTTTTTGCCAAAGTTATCTCATGTCCCCTTTTTACCCTCCTAATTTCCCTCTTAAGTATACTCCTATTGCCCTTATGCTCTTCTAGGGATTCACTCACTCCCAGCTATCTATATCTGACACATGCCTCCTTCACTTTCTTGGCCAGAGCTTCAATTTCTCTAATCATCCAGCATTCCCTACACCTACCAGCCTTGGCCTTCACACTAACAGAAACATACTGTCTCTCAACTCTTGTTATCTCATTCTTAAAAGCCTGCCACTTCCCAACCATCCCTTTCAAAGAATCACAGAATGAAACAGCAAAGGAGGTGATCATTTGCCAAATTGAGCTAGGGCTGCTAATGTGGTGAAGTTCTATGGTTAGTCCCAATCCCTTGCCCTTTCCCCAGACAGTACAGAAAAATCGTAAACATGTCTCACACATAACTGCATCAGCAGTATTTCTTAACTGATATTCAAGGAGGTACAATCGAGCAATACAGGCTCTAAAAGGTTTCCATTGAAGTCTCGACGATATATCTAAATAACGCAAATTTGACAACTTGGGGAAAGCTTGAGCAAGAATCTAGATTGAGAACTGACCTCGGGATTCAAAATTATCATCTATAGCAAAGCAGCTATTTTAGTAATTAACTTTGCTCAAAAGGAACAGATAAGTTACAACATCAACCTTTCAATCAAAACCTAGATCTGAATCCAACCTAGATCAATGGGATTTTCAATTAATTAATTTATGGAATGTGGATATCACTGGCCAATTATTGACCATCCCTAATTGCCCAGAGGGTAATTAAGAGTCAACCTAATTGCTGCAGGTCTGGAATCACAGACAGGCAAGACTGGCAGATTTCCTTTCCTGAAGGACATTAGCAAATCACATCAGTTTTTCCATCAATTGACAACAGTTTCATGGTCATCATTAGATGCTTAATTTCAGGTTTTTATTGAGTTCAAGTTCCATCATCTTTCCTTGGTGGGATTCAAACCTGGGTCCCAGAACATTACCTAACTCTCTTAGCTCACAGTCTAACATTAATACCATCACTTCCCATGTTTAAGGCTTGAACTGTATCTTTAATTCAAGATAAAATTGAGCAATAAAAAGTTGAGTGCAACCAACAACCATCTGGTTACTGTGGGATTTGGTGGGCTGGGCCAAGTCTTATTGAAACCCAAGTATAGTGAAGAGTGAGAGAGATATTGCTGGGTGTGAAAAGAACAAGGAAACTATTCCGCCACTTCACTGGCACTATCCCCCAACTCTTCCTCCGCTACATCGATGACTGTATTGGCGCCACCTCATGCTCCCACGAGGTGCTCAAACAGTTCAACAACTTTACTAAAACCTTCCACTCCAACCTCAAGTTCACCTGGACCATCTCTGAGACCTCTCACTCCTTCTTGGACCTCTCTGTCTTCATCTCGAAACTGGTATCTATTTCAAGCCCACTGAATCCCACAGCTACTTGGACTATACCTCCTCTCACCCACCCTCCTGCAAGAATGCGATCCCCCTACTACCAATTCCTCTGCCTCCGCCGCATCTGCTCCTAAGATGAGGCGCTCCACTCCTGAACATCCCAGATGTCCTCGTATTTCAAGGGCCGCAACATCCCCGCCTCAGCGGTCGAAAACGCCCTCGACCGCATCTCTTGCGTTTCCCGCACCTGAGCCCTCATACCCCTCCCCGCAATAAAAACAAAGACAGTATTCCTGTAATCCTCATGTATCACCCCATCAACCTCCAGATTCAACGCATCATTCTCCATCACTCCCACCACCTGCAATCGGACCCCACTACGAAGGATATATTTCCCTCCCCACTCTTATCTGCCTTCCAGAGGGACCGCGCTCTCCGTGACTCCCTCGTCTGCTCCACACTCTCCACAAACCTCACCACCCCCAGCACCTTTCCCTGCAACCGCAGGAGGTACTACACCTGCCCCTACACCTCCCCCCTCACTTTCATCCCAAGCCCCAAAAAAACCTACCACATCAAACAGATGTTCACCTGCATATCTGCTAATGTGGTCTATTGTATCCGCTGTTCCCGATGTGGCCTCCTCTACATCGTTGAGACCAAGCGGAGGCTCGGAGACCGCTTCACAGAGCACCTACACTCGGTTCGCGACAAACGACAACACCTCCCAGTCGTGAACCACTTCAACTCCACCTCCCACTCCCTGAATGATATGTCCCATCCTGGGCCTCTTCCAGTGTCACAACAACGCCACCTGGAAACTGGAAGAACAGCACCTCATATTCTGCCTTGGAAGCCTACAACCCAATGGTCCCAATATGGACTTTACTAGCTTCAAAATTTCCCCACCCGGCCTCAACCCCACCTCATTGACCTGTCCATCTTCTCTCCCACCTATCCGCTCCTCCCACCTCACTGATCAATCCCCACCACCTAGCTACACTCACCTTTACTAGCTTCATCCCCACCTCCTTGACCTGTCTGTCTTCTCTCCCACCTATCCGCTCCACTATCTGCCTGCTATCACCGTCCCCCGCCCCCCCTCTATTTATTTGAGCCCCTTTCCCCTCCCCCATTTCTGAACAGGGGTCCCAACCCGAAACGTCAGCTTTCCTGCTCCTCTAATGCTGCCTGGCCTGCTGTGTTCCTCCAGCTCCACACGGTGTTATTAAGGAAACAATGGTTATGCAAACAGGATGCTAGAGAGACCTGATTCTCCATTTGAAGGGACAAACAGATGTTCACCTGCATATCTGCTAATGTGGTCTATTGTATCCGCTGTTCCCGATGTGGCCTCCTCTACATTGTTGAGACCAAGCGGAGGCTCGGAGACCGCTTCACAGAGCACCTACACTCGGTTCGCGACAAACGACAACACCTCCCAGTCATGAACCACTTCAACTCCACCTCCCACTCCCTGAATGATATGTCCCATCCTGGGCCTCTTCCAGTGCGGAAACTCAGAGATCAACAAGCTGTTAGTCAATGCCATGTTGTTCAAAGTCTATTTGATTATACTCAGAACATTTGAATGAAGCGACTTTCAAAAAGACAATGGAAGACTTGCACTGGTGTAATGAGAAGCGAACCTGTAGAAACACAGGAGGGATATGAGGCTTGAGTGCAGTGTAATAAACAGACATGGCATGAGGGTCATCTCTTCTTGAGTCAGATGATTTAGTCACTTACTAAGTGACATTTAGTCAATGTTGATTTTAGTTTGTTACAGTAAAAGTGTTAACATATGAAGTCTTTCATGTGATTCTTCTCCTTGGTCACTGAAAATTCAAATCTCTTTTTAATAGTTAGTGCGCTGCATGAGGATTGTAACAAATGAAAGTCTTACATTTGGTGGATTTTTCAGTTTTAGGTAAAATGAATTGGGGCAGCCTCAGTTGAAGTCTGACTGGCCGAAGAGATCTATTGCAGAACTCAATGGCAAACCTACATGTGTCTGCAAACAGACTGATGCAGCTAATATAAAAATGGCAAAGTAATGTCGTGGAAAGTGCTATTCTGAAGATGAAAGTATATTTTTGCATCAGAGTAGAGGGATCAGCGTCTACCCATGCTATAAATTCTCAGAAACTGCTCGTTTATGATACTACTAAATGAGCAAGTACACCATCAGCAACATCCTCAACTTTGACCAATATAACTCACATAAAAACTGCAGCAACCTCAAACACTGGGTGCTGAGTGATACAAGATTCACTAACGAATTCTGTCATGGAGTTTTTCCAGTATTACCTCTCTACGTTACCCATGAACACAGTGACAAAGTGTAGAGGTTGCTCTAGGGAATCGCCTGCAGTTTCCAGAATGTCATCTGCAAATCTTCGTAGAAAGATGAAAAAATCTCCAAGATTGTCGGCAAAGAACTCTGACAAAGAAATGAAATGAAATGAATCAAAATGATCAGTACACAGTAATAGCTTGAAAATGGATTACAATTCGGTCAGTTAGACTGAGTTGAAGAGCCTTCTGCCAAATAGACCTCACCCTTCCAAGATGCTAACCTTTAAAGCATTCCATTACATTGTTAACACCCACCAGCATAAGAGGATGTGGATTTTAGTGGAACATCTCACATAGAAGACAAGAAACCTTGTCCATTTGTAATGTATAAACTAAACTTGTCACTAAAGATCACTGCAGCAGCCACTGCACCAGACAGTGAAATAAACCCCAGTGAACAGTTGCTCCTTCAGCATCAAACTCCAACTCAGCCCTGCTGAAGCACATTGTTTAGAGATGCATTGTAATGAAACTGAACCTATATACTTTTAAAAAAAAAAGCAACTACAGAGGTTATAGGGTGCACTGCAACTCAGGCAAGACACATTTCAACGCTGGAGTCAGGACAGGTGTCAACCATGAGCCTGTACTTCAAGGCAACATTAGGAAATTGAAAGGAACAAGTAACCTCAGATGATTGCTAGGACATGGTGAATAATGAGCACAAGGCACTAAACCTTTATCACAGCTGCAAGATGCTGGACCTGTATCAAATGGCTGCTAAATGATCAACAGCTACTTTTAATACCAGATGAAGCATTCTGGTAGTAAAATAAAATGAGAATAGCATTTTTAGTTGACTTGTCGTGAAATTGCTCACAAGTAAGGAAATGGGATTAGAAACATTAAAGAGGAAAAGATACAATAAAAAACAAAAATGTTTCGATGGAAGAGGGCAAAAATATGAAGAAATAGCCAAAAATGGAAAAAAATGATAACAGAACAGAACAATGCAAGTGGAAACCTTACCAATGCCACACCTTAACAGATAGATGATCAGATACTTCCTTTAGTAAGTCATACACTGACAGATTATTTAACAATAATATAAAGATAAGCAACAAAAATACAAATATTTCCACTGTATTGCACTTTCCAAAGGTCAACACACCCTCTAAATCATAGGAAAAGAACAAGTTCATTTGTCCTCAAGCCTGTTCCACCATTCAACTCAGCAATAATGTTTTGCATTTCTATAATGCCAAATCACCCCAAAGCATTTTGTAACTAATCAAGCACTTGTGAATCATAGTCATTGTTGTAATGTAGAAAATGCTGCAGTCAGGTTGTGCATTCACAGCAAGGTCCAACAAACAGAAATCTAATGACCACCAAATAATCTCTTTCAGGGATCCTTGTTTGAAGAATAAATATTGACCAGGATACTAATCTCTACCCGAAATCCATGTACCTGCCTTCGTTCCATATTCCTCGATGGCATTACCCAACAAAAACTAATGGATCTGTCTTGAAAAATGCTATCGACACAGAATCTAAAGCCATCATCTTCAAGATTCCCAAACTTCATGAAGGCATGCTAGATACCTGGAACATGAGAAAGCATGCAGTATTCCAAGTCCAGAAGTGGGAAGGTCACCTCCATGTATTCTGTTCCTCGATTGCCCAGAGAGAATTGCACCAGTATTGTTGTGGTGGAAATCTGCAAATTCATACAGTTCTGGAGCATCTGCGGCTCTGTGGCAGCTGCTTTGGTCGATAAATAAACCGTCATCAGCCGTTCAAATTGCTCACGTAGGTTTTCTGCAGCTGGACTGGAAGACTGCTGTGCCTCTCTCCAGGCAACTTGCAGTCGGTGTAGGCTTTGGTTCATCTTTATCATTTGATCGTGTAACCTGTGAAGGTGAAGAATACAGCTTTCTCATCAAAGGATTAACTCCAAGAGGCAGGACATTGACAGAGGAACTCCACAAAACCAAGATGTCAAGGGTGACCCTGTGTCAGCAGGGCCGCTCAAGAAGGCAAAGCTATTTATCCAAGGATCAAAAATGAACAATTCTCTTCCCCATCATTTTTATTTTAAAAAACATTTTTTGTTTTAAACTTAATCTGGCTTTCTCAAAGGTACTTTACATCTTCTGTTAGGAATTAACCAATGGATTGATGTCTCCAAGAGTAAGATGATAGAAAATTCCTTCAAGACAACGAAGGAAAAACATTAACAGCAAGATTTTACAAAATGCACCAGCACTTCTACATGTTGTATGAGCTGGTGACTGAAACTTCACACGCATGTGAAGATTTACTTAAACATCTATGTTCATTTAAAATATAGGCCATTCAGCCCCTCGCACTCCCTCCACCATCCAATGAGATCATGGTTGATCTGTGACTTAGTGGGAAGTGAGTGTGTCAGGGTAAAAATTGAAGAAGCTTCCTTCACTTCTACCTTGACCATTATCAGTCACTCAATGAGGTTCATGCCCTTACACCCTCTCCTTGGTACATAGCCAGCGGATCATTGGGAAAGCCTTTTCCTATAGCCCCAGGAAAGGAAAATTAAGCAGTTAAAGACATGACCCAATTTCACTTTTAATGCATTTTCTGATTATTTCTTCTTATGCAATGAATTGCACATACACTCTCAGTACCTGTGAAAACCTAGGTGTAAGGCAAACTGAGTCAGGATTAAATTCTCTGTGACCAGGTTGTATGTTTGAGCAAAAGATGGTTCCAGTCCCTGAGGTATTGGGATCAAACAGGTCTCCTTGTCCAAACCTAAGGTAAAGGAACAAAACAAATTTTCATCAAAAAAATTTCCCATTTAAAATATCCTAATAAAACATTACCGTTTGCAGCTTTTACACAAATATTCTGCTGGTAACATATCATGGCTTAGGAATTCAGTAAGTCTATGCCCATGTTACAGACATTAAAATTGGCAAAGTGTCCAAAATGGCAGAAAACCTACGTGTACATTCTGTGCAAAAAGGACCTAGCTTGCTATATTGGTATGGGTGTCAAAACGTAGGTCTAGGAGCCAAACCTCGAAGAGTTAATGGATGCAAATAAAGGGCTTCCCATCTCTTTGATTTGTCCTTTACCCAACTGAACCGCCTTTAACAGAGTTTGTTATTTATGGGTGTGGATCCAGGTAGGCTGATGTGCTCTTTGGTTCTTTGCTCCACATTAAAGCACAGGCTATCACCTGTCCTGCACTTGCCACTTCACTGTCTTGACCCACCTCCCCCTGGAAATCACCATCTTGACCTGTTTCTTTTTTGCCACTCCCCAATCTCACAATCAATTTCCTAACCCTCTGCTCCTCCTCTCTTTCGATCAATCCCTTAACTTCTCTCACACACTTTCATTCTTGAGTCAGTGCGGAAAGTTGCGCTCACCAGTACAGTAGCAATTTTGCACACTAAGACCTTGCAAAATGAGATAAATGGATAGTTCCAATATATTATTAATAACTTTGGTCAAAAGGTGAATCTTAGCCAGCACACATGGAACCAGAATTCCGATCAGGCTGGAGTACACTGAATTACCTCCAACCTCATTTCTGTTGCTACATAGAAGAAATAAAAACAAATTTCTTGTGATTTTGGCACGGTTTTCTTTTGGGTGGCCCACGAAATCTTCACTGGAAGAGCCGAGGAGTGTACCAAAGTTTGGAATGCATTGGTGTGAGTATATCAACATGTATAGAGGATGCGCCAAACTAGGAAAAGTCTGAAAACCACAGAAATATAGGGTTGTGTTTTAAATAAAAATTCACACATGCCTCTGGCAAAGAGCACGTTGTGAGCTATGAGTATCAAGTGGGGCCATGCCACTCCACCAGGATCTAGTATTGGGTCTAGTTTTCCTTCCATACTTTCTGTTGCAAGTTTGATTTCAATTTTGCAGCCAGATATATGTTAATAACTAAAGCAGTGCCTAGCACCAAGATTTTGTGCAAGATAACAGATATTGATATTACCCATTGCGCTGAAATACTGCTGGATAACTAAAAGCAAAAGTAATCAATTTACTGCTCAGCCACACCTTTGATATGTACATTTCTGCTTTTCCGTTCCTCTTCATTCAAGTCTTTCAAGCTACAATAAGTAGGGTTGAAGGTCAGCAGTTTAGGAGACTTTGGTTTGCAGAAGGGTTGACAGAGTTTTAGCAAAGCAGCAGCAAGGTTCAGGAAGAAGGCATCTGATGCATACATTTGGAAGAAGAGCTCAGGCATCTGATTGGCCCAGATTTTTGTCCGTCCTGAGTTGGCATGGAGGCAGTTTCCGAGCCAGGAAAGGATACAATGCTTAGTATCCGAGGAAAGCTGGATGAGGTTCCGTAGAATCTGATGAATTTTGTCATGCAATTGCGCCATGAACTGCAAACAAAAGCAAGAATGTTCTGAATAACCTTACCAAACATGAGACTGTGTTACAAAAAACATGAAGTAATCTGCCGATAAGCTAACACATGATTGGTGGGAAAGCTACATCTGCTCAATTTTAGCACTCAGTTAACTGCAAATTCTTGTGTAAAAGGGATGACAACAAAAGTATTGGAATCAAAGTTTAAGAACAAAAATACATTTAGCTATCTAAGTCATGTAGATAACAAGCTTGACATATGTAAAATTCCACAAACTGAGGCATCATGTACTCCATGCTCTTGGTAACATACTGCAATAAAGAATGTTATTTATATTGAGCAGCATCATACACCTTGAGATGTCCCACAGAACTTTACAACTGAGATTTACTCTTTGCAGTTCCAGAAGCAAGCGTTATTGTTTATGCAGTGCACACAGCAGAAGCCCACGAAGAACGAATGAACGAGAGGCATGATGTTGACTAGGAAACTGTGAGGGCGCCATCTCTTCAAATTATGCCCATATCTACCTAAGCAGGTGGACAGGGACAGGCCCCAAGTTAACCTTCAGCAATGTAGCAGTCCTTCTGTACTGACGTGTCAGCACAGATAAGTTCAAGTATATAGTGGATTTGAACCCACAAATACCTGACTTGCAAGTAAAAATACTACCAATCAGCCACAGCTGACATCCAAGTGAAAGTTAACACTAAATTAGTGGACTTTAAGCAATTGAAACTGCTGCAGAAATTCTCAGCAGGCAGGACAGCACAACTGAAATGCAGTGAAATGCATCAGAATAACCAGCGACTATCCATCAGTACAGGTGGAACCAAGAGGTAGCTAGTGCAAGAGGAAATAAAATATAATCTACAAAAAACTAAAAGGTAAAATTAGCACAGCAATGCAAGGTACCATATATCCCCCGGGTGGGGTCACGAGTGGAAAGAAACACAAAACTCTGCGCGATCCAACACCCAATTGCTGGTCTACAATTTCAGCCAAATTGTGGTTGGTCGAGGAAAGGATAAAAGGAGATAAGAGGAGGGAAACTGGAGGCAATATTCCTTTACTGATGGGATAGCTCTGAACATTCTCTCACGTGCATTATAATTTTTGAGAGCCTGTTTCTAACTGGAACAAGATTGATATTGGCAGAAGTCAGAGTAAAGCCCATCCACTGAGCATGAGACAGCACATGACCAGACAGGTTGGATGGAGAGGAAAACTGCACAACACCACAGCCCATCAAAATAATCCACCTGGTGAATGTTTGATTCTTGAACTTTGATCTCCTGAGGACTAGATCTCGAAGGATTCAAAAAGTACAAGTGATTCTCCACCAGTCCTGGAGTTTTCAGCAAACAAGATATGTTTAAGACAGTCCCCAGCAGGGTCTGCTGATATAGGTTACCGTTCTTTGGATCCTTTGGCTCAATATGCTTCAAGAAAACCTGTTGAGGGAAATAAATTGCAATCATTTCAACTTTATTATGCTAGTTTTATTTTTGTACATTGAAGATAATTAGCAACTTCACAGAAACACACATTAACAGGAGGAATTCTTAAATGCACAGTACAGGTAAATGGTCTTAATCCCTATATCATATTAAGATAGAAGAATTATTTTCAATAATCAGGCTTCCGACTACCATCCAGTAGACCTGCTGGAAGCTGCATTTGGAAATGCTGCGTGAGGGTAAGGTTATGATCAGTGGTGATGCACACCTAGTATGCAGTTTCATATATGACATACAAACAAATTGAGGGGTGATAGATATAGGACAGATGTCAGAGGTAGGTTCTTTACTCAGAGAGTAGTAAGGGCGTGGAATGCCCTGCCTGCAAAAATAGTAGACTCGCCCACTTTAAGGGCATTTAAATGGTCATTGGATAAACATATGGATGATATTGGAATAATTTAGGTTAGATGGGCTTCAGATTGGTTTCACAGGTCGGCGCAACATCGAGGGCCGAAGGGCCTGTACTGCGCTGTAATGTTCTATGTTCTATGGTCTAAAGTCAGCTGACCAAAGTATTAGAGGGCAGCCGGAAATCGAGCAGCTCAGGAGAGTTGGAGAGAGAGAGAAAACAAATGGGAAAGCCGGCTCAGGTACATTTCTAGAGCAGTCCTCATCCCCACAGGGTGCTCTTGTTTTTAAGTGGAGGCACTAGTGAATGGTTAATGCACTATGGGGTCATTTCCAAACTTTACAATACAAGCTTGGGTATCTGCAATGTGGCAAATCAGACATTTGGGTTTATGCTGAAGACAGTTTTCCATTCATTACAGCTAATGTTCGCTGCACAACTTGTGTCCAGCTTTATGATCTGCAGTCCCAGTTACCAGATAACAATAACATGAAATCATACCTTACATTAGCTATTACAAATCATTTATTGACTCCTGAACACAGTATACTAGGAACTTTTTCTACCCTTATCAAAAATGAAATGCAATTCCTAGCCCAAGGTTTCACAGCTTATCAAAATTAAACATAATTTAAAGACACAAGAGCAGACACACTTTGGTCAGATTTCTAATGAGTTTAAATGGGAAACCACGTCATCCAGCTAACTTCAGCCTTCTTATTTCAGAACATTTTTCCTATACAACCAAGTTGTAGTGTATACACTACAAGCAGCACAATACATTGGCAGAAGTAACTAAGGCATTTTCTGTAAGAGTCAAAGACCTCACATCACAATGTACACCTGCTGTTGTTTTGTTACTGTCCTTTACAGCAGGGAGGGAGGTGAAAAGATGGTTCCTTTGCAATCCAGCTGTCTCCAATGTGACAGGAAACTGACAGCAAGTTGATCCTGACTTGTTCTGATACCTGATCCAAGCCGGCACTTATTCCTCGGGGCATGGTTGATGATTGGTTAAATAAACTGGAACTGCCACAGCATTTGAGACAGTAAATCTGCTATGAGGGTCAATCACATAACAATCAGATAATTCTTCAAGGAATATTTAAATGGGAAGGGGATGGATTAAAAAGCTTACAAATGTGCTGTTTTAATAAAGGTAGGGTTTTGTATACATATAGCATACTTATACGATAAGCAGTACACATATTAACACTTAGCTATCTCCAAATTTGGTAACCTGTGTCAGCTTTATGGACTTTGCCACGTACAATGACACACACACATCACAATCCAACTGCATCAACAGAAACTCTGCAAGTTCCTCTGTAGCTTGGTTTGGATAGGTCTCAATACACAGCAGGTACCAAGCCGATCAAGAGCAGCAAACCAGATAAAACCAAGAGTAATTTAGAAATTTCTTACTTGTGCCAGTTCAGGCTGTCGCGTAACATAAAGAAGGATGTCCAGGTAACCATACAGCATTATGTGGCAAAGGTCCAACTCCTTGATGCGCCGCAATAAGATGTCCAACACCGGAAACATGACTTCATTGAATGTCCGGACCTCTTCATCTGACTTTAAGGTAGCTATCACATCATCCATAAATTCTGTAACATCTTCAAAGTCTGTATAAGTAACAGAATGATCACACTGCACATTTCACCATGTAAACGATCAAGAACATGGTAAACATGGAACGATAGGATATTAACCACAGGTCTATTTTAATGGAAAGGGCGTTCTTGGCACTGAAGGCAGAAGTTTTCTTCACACAAAGAATGATTAGCATATGGAATAACTGGGATATAGTACCAGAGGCAAAAGTTCTGGAATTATTTGCAAAATGATTAGAAGTTGCTATTGATAGGGGGGCAGGAGGGAAGAGACTACTACTTAATTCTAAATGGATGAGCCAAGTTAGCCTTCCCTACCTACATCTATCATGACCTTTAAAATGTTATTACTTCGTCATATTTAAATGTTACCACACTGCCAATGTAACTTTGGATAGATTTTCATTATATTGATAGTATAGGACGTAAAGAGGGTTCTACTCACTGAGTACTTGAATTGTTTTGTCAGAATTCCGCCCATGATTAATTTCATGAAACATCACTATTGTTAAAGCCTGGTTCCCAAATGCACTAACTTAGAATCAGTGAAGCTTAAAGTGGTGTAAGAAGTCACGTGCTCCATCTTTTTAAAGACGGCCAAAACCAAACCACTCCTATGCTCTCTCCATACAGCCCTATAACTTCATCAGCTTTAAACAACTATGTAATGTTCCCTTAAAGGATTCAAATGTTGCTTCATAAAACCATTCAATGTAGCAATGCACTTCATTATCTAACTACATACTGCATGAAGAAATGTACTACAGGGTTTTTATTTGCTGACGATAATGATTCAAGTAATAAAATGGTCAATTTGAAGTACATCATTCAATCACTAGATTGATACTATTAACCGTTAGTCACTTCAAAAGTACTTAATTAAATGTGAAATATCTTCAGACAGCACCCCAAGTTTGAGAGAGACATTTAATTGCAAGCTCTCATTTTATTTTTTTTTAAATACACAAACACTTTTTTTTTTCCCCCCAACATGAGACAGAACACATAACTCACGCCAATGCAGCATCTTGCACTCCAATGCACAAGTTCAGAGAAATAGAAGAATTATTTACTTACGTGGTCCACTTACTCCTTCAAGAAGCAAGTCAACGACTTGTTCATAAACATTCTGATTGATGTAGATCTCAGGTGTGAGAAGGACTGTGCGGGTGTTGGACACAGTCAGAGCCTTACAACGAAGAGCATAAGTCAACAGGTTTTCTGGGACCTTTGTAATCTGTTGAGAAAATTTATATTTTCAAAGTCATTGGAAAGAGAAAGCCCAACTCTCATAGACAGGACAAAAGGAGAAAATGGACACCCAAAAATAAAATCATCCAAAATACTAATCCAGGCAATGGCAGGTTCTCAGAATTACATACCTCTCCTTTCGCTCTTTGAAAACAAGCAAACAGGTACTTAATAACTTCCTTCTCTCCAGCATCTCGATCAGCTGACATATTAATAACATTCCCTGATGTCATACAGATCAAGCGAGTCCCTGGTTCTGGAAGCAGCATCCGAGTGAACAAAGCCTATTAAGATGACAATGTTCATCATTATCGATTTCATGGATCATTCAGATACTAATCTGAGTACACAATTCTTAGTCCAATACCATTTCTCATTCACTCCCATTGTTTTGAATTGCCTATCCACCAGTGAAGACAAAATGCTGATCCAAGCTCATGGCATTGCTCAATATCCAACATGTTAAATATAGTTTGAACAGGTGCCATCACTATAGAACATGCTGGCAATAGACAGACAACTGAACTGTACTAACTGCTAACTAGAGAATATTTAATGCTTTAATAAGGATTCTACAAGTTGTAGCCTTAAAGAAAAACAGCAAACTTGCAAGTCTCTGCACCATTGGCCTAGTTAACCATTCATCTACTTCAATTAAACAGAAGGAAAATATAAATTGAAAACAAGTTTAAAACATAACTTTGTTCTTCCACTTTCAGCTTCACAAGGGCATTAGGGATAAGCAAATCATGCTCATCTTGCCAAGAATATTGATACCCTGTGAATTTAAAAAAAAGTTTTTAAAACAAATGATTTGTTTTTACATGGTGCCTTCTTACACCTCTCAGAATTTCACAGCAAAACCTAGGTCATATGGATCATTAGGTTCCTGAAACAAATTATAATGGAAGAAAACCTAATGGAAGAAAAATAATCAGAACTTACATTATCACTGGCTTCCCCTTTATGCATCAGATCCTAATCAGAGTATGAAATCATTCTTCTTTAAATTGAAATTTTGTGAATTTGTAGATTTAAGATGTGTTTTTGAGACTTAATCAATAAAAGCAAAAAGTGCATTTCAAGCAGTTTCTTCAAACAGGAATTCAATTTTGAGAGGCACCATGGTACCTACAGACATGGAATGGCTGCCAATTGTTAAATTACATATATGAAAACATAAATTAGAAAAACAGAGTTACAGAACACACAGAAACTTTAAATAGCAACTGCAAATTCACATTATCATAACTTATCGATCTTGACTAAGACAGAATTATGAGGACATAAAGAAAGGTTCTTAAAGCAGAAGCAAGGCATTAGTTTGGAAAGAAAATTACAGTATTGTCCTGAGATAACTGCACCTCCTGATACTAACAGCCAAGCAGTCGAGGCACTAAACCTTGATTCCCTATTGATCAATCAACTAAGGTTTAATACCTTGTGCAAAAGATAGGAAGAAAATCAGCTTCAGGTGTCTCCCAGACGCCAACAGAAAAGTAGTTTATCCAGCAACGAGACGACACTTTTTAAAAAACTGGTTTACAAATACATAACAATCTGTCTATTGCTGAGATCAAGGTGAGATCTAGCTCAGCTTGATAGCTTACAAGTCTTCATACCTCATCAGCACTTAAGAGTATAAGTCCATTTTTGGGTTCAATACTTGATTAAAAGAGATCAATGCATGTGAAAAGGTCAGAATGACATCTGGCCTGAGAGCTCCTACTTAAGGGACATACCAAGACTCAGCGGTCTTTATTCAGGAGAAACAAAACTCAGAAGGATATTTAGTCAGAGAATAGTTACAGCATAGGTTGTCATTCAACCCATCGTGTCCAAGCCAGCTCTCTACACCGATCCACCAATTTCTAATTCCTGCATTTTCCTCGTTTCTCTTTCGATAGATTTCCAACTGTTGTCTGAAGGCCCCATTTAAATCTACCTTGACCCACATTCTCTGGCAGGGCATTCCAGATCCTAATCACTTGCTGCATAAAAATGCTTTTCCTCTTGTTGCCATTATTCTTTTTGCCAATCACCTCATATCAGTATCTTCTGATTCTTGACTTTTCTGCCAATGGGAACAAATCTCATCTATTGTGTCCAGACCCCTTATGAATTTAAATACCTTTATCTCTTAAGTCTTGTCTGATTTTATCAACTCATCCAGAGAATACAAGAACTTGCTGATGGACTTTAAAAATATGGCAATCAAAACGAAATAGGAAACAGAGCCAACCTTTTTGTTAACAGGTTAATAGAACTGTGGAACAGGTTACCAGCAGAAATGATGAATTACAAAACAATATCAAGCTTTACAAAATACTGAAGGATCTCCTGTTGTTATAGGGAATACAATGCATTAGCCCCAGAATCACAGCAAGAAAACTACTGGAATGATAGGTTAAGCGGGTGAATGCATTTCTGTAACACATTGCCACATTATAAGGATTCTTAAATAATTGCTGCCCTAAGTCAGGTTAATTAATGTATTAGAGGTGAAGATCTGAACTAGGCACTTTCTGGTCTGTTACTAAAAATATACTAATACTGTTCTGTGGTTTACTGCTATGTTGCACCATCTGGCTTACATGGGGATTTCCCATTTTACAAATGAATCCCTCAATCCCAGGAATAATCGTTACCTATTAATGGAATGCTCCTAGCAATAAGCAATTATCTCAGTCTCTTTAAGGTTAGATCTACAAAATGATGCATGTAAACCTTCTGAAACAGGATGCTTACCTTACCGTTTTCCCATATAAAAACATTTCTACTAACAGTAATACTGCATAGCAATAAATCATCTCCAATTTTAATTCTTGGTATTTCTACATGGACAAGAACTTTAGGAAGGTTGTACTCATTTGTTGCAGGCGCACTGGTGGCTAGTTAGGCCTATCCATGAGCAGCAGATTCTTCCATAGTAAGACTACGTGAAGGTGTTGTCACTGCTGGGGGAAACTGGATCTATCCTTCTCCTCCTTTTCTCTTTCATGCTGCCTCTACACTCAGTCTCACTAGGTGTCTGTAGTGTGGCAACTTCAGACATCACAACCTGTAGCCTGCGCTTCCCACTGATAATGATCAACGTGGCACACAGAGAGGGATATTGTCTATCTGTGCTTGCAACTGCCCGACGCAATTGACTTTGCAGGAGAATGATTTTGATGTAGGTGATGTTGAGCGGTTTCCAGGATTTCAATGTCTGAAATGAAGTCCTGCCAATAGATCTTTAGGATGCTGCAGAGGTAGCAGTGACAAAAGTACTTAGAAGACATACAGGATCCATGACCCAGCATTGTGCAGATGGGTTGTGAGACTATGGCTTTATACACTGAGTTTAGCCTGTACTCGGAAACTGAAGTTTGTACAGTGTGCCAAATACCTGCTTTTAAAAGCCTATTGTCCACGTCTTCGTTTACAGCAGCATCAAAACAAATTGATGCTCCCCAAATAGATAAATTGCTTGATGGATCCAGCTTGGTTCCCTCAAATGACAATGCTCGATTGTCTATATTCTTCTTGAAGTACAGGCTGATGCCGGACTTCAGTTTTCTTTAAATGGATTTGTAGCCCAAGAAGTTCAGCCGCCTTGAAAAAGTGTCTTGTTATATTTTGCAGATCTGAAGGACTAGGGGCCAGAATAGCAGTCTTTGTGGGAGCTTGAAGACTGCTGAGGTCAGGGGCCCAGAAGCAAGCATAAATTCCCTGAAGGTCATCTGTTGCCTGCTGCAGCATCATGCTGGTGAATAAGGTCAGGGTCAGGACACATCCTTGCTTCATGCCTCTGATGATTCAGAAGGGACTCAAGCTGTTGTGCTCAACCTGACCATATTCATTTTCTTAAAACTACTTTACCATAGCCAGGAACCTGGATAGGCATCTATGTTTTTCAAAGAGTCTCCAAAATCTGTCTCTGCTCATAGTTTCAAATGCCTTGGTGACGTCTACAAAAGTGATGCACAAACTTTTCTTCTGTCATCATTTTCCTTGAGTTTGTCTTAGTAAATATGCCATGTTTACAGTGTTTCTGCTTTCTCTGAAACTGCACTGGCCCTCTAGGTAGTTTTCTTCAGTGATGCACAAGCCTGCTTAGAAACATTCTAGTCAGGATCTTTCCAGCAATAGGAAAGGAGGGTGATCCCACGGAAGTTGGGGCAGTGTTACTTTTCTCCTTCGTTTTTGTACAAGGTGACGATCGTGGCATTGCCAATATCCTGTGACATCCTGCCCCATTCACTGCAGACCATCAAATCTCAGAGCATGTTTCAAAGGACATGCCTACCATGATTCAAGGCTTCTGGTGGCATTCTCATGACTCGACAAAGGGACTTTGCTGCTCTTCATCTGGTTGATGATGGTCATGATTTCCTCCAGCTGTTGTGTTGGAAGTTGGGCTTTCACCCAATTCTTCCTTGGCAGGCAGTTGTTTGATGCTGATGATTGCAGTATCACGTCCTGCGCTCTTAGTGTTGGAAGATGTTTCCCAAGCACTCCAACCTGAGATCCAGGCTGACTCCTTGTTAATGTGCAGCGTCTTGTTATGGGTGCTTCTCAGGGAGTTTTGGGTTTGACGTGTTGGTCCTTGACAGACTGAAACTTATACCACCTGTATCAGTGTGCAGTTGACTTCTTTCTACAAGCAATCAACCAATCGATTTGGGTGCCCCTCAGTTTACATTGAAGGTTGCTGCATACTTGATAGCAGGTTGTCTTTTTTCTGATGGATGGCTAGCTAAGTGAGGTGACCCCAATAAGCTGACCTCTACTGTTGGATGATCGCAGACTTCCTTGTCATTTTTATTAAATCTATCCCTGTCCTCCTCCTCTTTGCTGGGTCCAATGTCTTTGACAGAAGTATCCAATGCTACAACTTTGTTGGGACTCCAGAGTTGCTCTTGAATGAAAATTGCAGTGGAATCACCATGTTTCAACCTGGTCTGCAAGGATACTCAATACTTAGCCCTGCAAGATGAGGTTAGCAAGTTGCTGACTCAATTTCTTTGATGGGTTTCCTCTAGGTCTCGAAATGGAAATACAGTCAGTGGCCTGTGTGACAGTCAGCACCAGGCATGATTCTAACATACAGGGTGTCCTGTAGCATCATTGATGCACTAATATATAGTCTGCCAGGTGCCAGTATTCAGAGTGGAAATGCATCCATGTGGTCTTGAGTTGAAAGGTGCTGTTGGTTGTCTGCAGAGTTCCAAGAGTAGACATCCACTTCCATTGCAGCTTCCAACTCCCTGGTTTCTGAACAATACGTTTCATGCCTGGCTATCAAGACCAGCTCTGGCATTAAAAATAACCAATGGCGACAATTTTGTACTTGGACGGGATAGGCTGGATGAGTTTGTGGAGATTGGTGTAGGAGTCAACTCTGTCAATCTTCAGAGTTGGAGTGTCAATGCTGTTGATTGTTGACCTATTTTTGAGCTTGTAAGTTTAATGGCAATAGTCTTTTTCACCATGAGGCTGACAGTAAGGAGGCATGTTCATTTTGAGGTCGACCCAAGTAATAAGTGCTCTGTGAGGCTGCTTGGCTCCAAGAAGCAACCCTCATTCAGGACTGATACATTGATATCTAGACTGAGTGGCTCATGGCCCACCAAGGCGAAGCATCATTGGCAGTGACTAGTATCAACAGAGTCTCACATTCCAGCAGGCCAGTTTGGGTTGCAGTTTGGCTGCATTAAAATATCTCCATTAATTACAATAAGCCAACTAGCTAGTGGACAGATGAGCATTTATTTAGGCCACCCATTCTAGGCCCCTCTCCAATTCAAGAACAAGTAATGTTGTCCCTCAGAAAGACTGCTTGGCTGTTTAGAATGCTATTGATATGTTGTCCCTAAGTCATCATCAAAATAAACAGCCACCTCAGCAGTATTGGAACCAGGGCTGCAATGTCATCTTACACCTGCCACTTTCATCCCTTTCCCAATGCTTTAGGACTTATTTGTTGAGTTGCAGTTGGGTGGACTCATTTTCTTTTTCCTGCCTGTGGAATCGAGCTTTAAGGCAGAATAGTTTATGATGACTAATCCCGCCATTTTTTAAGCCTGATGTTCATCTGTCCTGGCCCAACAAACTAGAGAGGTAACACGGAGGTCTCCAAGCCATAAGTTTGGATTCAGAGTTTCCCTCTCTTAGGTGGGATGCTAACCAAAACGTGAAAGGACCTGTTCCCTTGTTATTTTATCCATTGTCATTATATTAACATTAGTTCATGCAAGATGGTGTCACACACTTCTAGTCCAGAGCATTGAAGAACATTTAAGCTCCTTAGGAACCTACTGCTCGCTGTTATCTTTGCCAAGGAAAGCATCTGCCCAGATGATGCCATATTCACCAGGTGGTGTTGATCTTCATCACACCTCCATGACCAGTAAATAATGAGACAGGGATCAGTACATATGTGATAATGAACAGTTCTTTGTTGCCAATATTTTGTTCAGTTGAAAGACTTACATAATGGAAGAATGATACTCAAGGGGTTTTCAAATCCAGTTTTCTTCCAAAATTTATATTTTGTAGCATTCCACGGGGAATGGACACATTTTGACACTTAGTGAGCTGTCATTTATCACAAATAAATATTCAAAGGCTATCTGCTAATGGAAAATGTTAAACCTAAATGAGATCCTGTGCTCAGCTTTCAAAGTAACCAACAGGAGTAAGACAGTCCTGATTTCCTCCTCTAGCCGAGGGACACAAAAGCAAATTGCAGTTTTCCTGCTCGATTGACTGAGATACAGATACATAAAATTGGCAGACAGGAATGCCAGCTGATCAATCATGCCAGTGCTGAACCACAATACTCAGGCTAGTATAATTAAACTCTTCAATCTCCCTACAACCATAGCAGTCAGTTAGGTACAGATGTTTACGTGCTACAAACATGAACTTTTCTGGATTGAACTTGTTTAATACCATATCAAAAAGCGTAATAATTGTTTAGTGCACTTTGGTAGACAGAGAAAAACTTTACCACCGATATCAAAAACATACCTCCCGAGCAACAGAAGGAATGTTAACTGTTTGGAAACATTCATACCTGTTCAACATTGTTCATGTCAAGCCAATCTTGCCCATCCAGGTCAGTGGCCATATCCTCCAAATAGACACAGCGTGGTGGGATCCCATTCCCTCCCTTCAGACTGGGATCACCTAAAACACACACCATCCAAAATATTTTAATACAAATATCACTCTTCAGAATTCTAAGCAGAGTTACAGGCCTAAAATAACCATCTGAGGAGAACATCACTCATATTGCAAAATGGGTAAAAACAAGGAAAAGTAGAAAGTAGTGGGCTGCAGTAACAGAATGCAAAACATTGTCATAAATACAATAAATGAAAAATAGCAGGATTAAGTAGCTGAAGTGCAGCAGAAAACAAATTACTCCAGGCTCTGGACTCAGTTTAGCTCAGTTGGCTGAACAGCTGGTTTGCCGTGCAGTGTGACGCCAACAGCATGGGTTCAATTCCCGCACCAGCTGAGGTTACCATGAAAGAATTTTCTTCCCAATCTCTCCCTTCACCTGAGGCATGGTGACCTTCAAGTTAAAACACCACTAGTCATACCTCTATGATTCTCTAATGAGACAGCAGCTCTATGTCCTGGCAAAACAATGGCAACTTTACTTACCTAGCAAGATAGTCAAGACACCAGAGGAAATGGATGCTCCTCTTTGGGTAAAACACGATTTGTGTCCACCCAAATAGTCCGACAAGACAATAACACAGAAGTGTCCATAACTCTGCACTATAGTCAGAGTTTCATTCTGCAAGTGCTCAAAATGGCAAACGTGAGAAATGGAAAACATAACACCAATGCAATAATAAGGACTGAAGCTGAGGCATATTGCTGGGGGTTAGTGGAAGAGCTTTACTCTACACATAACCCAAGAGATATCTAGCCAATTAACCTTTGATATTTCCACTAGTGCATGAAATTGAAATTGTTCCATTCCTCAGGACTAACGTCCTTCACCTTGGGGACCATAAAATTCACAGGAAATGAAATCCACTAGATGCTAGATACTCACTGTTGTCAAGTGTAATAAGAAAGATGCGCTGAAGCATGTGATTGATATTGAGTTGTTCACATATTTCCTTTTGAGAGCGAAATGCACGGCTGAGGTCTGTAATCGAATCATTGTCAACGCTCTCCAAACTACTGACATCCGAATCTTCACTGTCGTAAACATCTTCTGTAGATAATGGACATTCTGGATAGGAACACATGAACAACACTATATGCAATCACACAAATACTCAATATTCACTACAAGATAAATGTACAGCATTAAAATAATAGTTTACATTTTCCCTAAGTTTATTTTTTGTGTTTGACTAGCTGACTTTAATCTTGCCAGGCTTTTAGGTATAACAATTGTTCTTGGCACACTGAAATGTAGAGGGAAAAATCGGCCAGATTCTTGCTGAGTGGCCCCTTCCAGAAAACAAGTCAGCAGATAACTGGTAATCACAAGTCAGACCCCAGTTTTGTTTTTAAATGGGGGGGCAGCGGGAGTTGGCGGGGGGGGGGGGGGGGGGGGTGGGGGGGGGGGGGGTGGTGATGGTTGTAGGGAAGGGAGGTGTAGAGAGAAAGAGAGGGAGAGAGGAGAGGATAGAAGAGAGACTATAAGACCCATTGATTTCCTTAATATTAGTTTCACCTTCTATTAAAATTTCTTTTCCACAATGATGAAAAAATCAGAAGCACAAACATTTAACTGCTGCTTTCTGAAAGTTTGAAGTCTAGGTTCTCTTCGATTTCTGAAGGAACAGGGTCACCTTTTCTTATACTATTAAACTAAATTTGTAGTAAAATATTTCTTGCTATTAATCATGGGGACATTATTTACAAATACCCTTATCAGAGGGAACAGGGACACGCTCCCTTTCTCAGTTGTGTAAATACATTTCACTCTGGTCACACTCTACATGTTAAATTCCTTTGAATCTACAAATAATACTTAAAATTCGACATACCATCAGCATGCAAGCTTTCAACCTTACTAAACTGTCAAATACCCTCATTCTGTCAATAGCTAGTAGTAATGTTTGGATTTCTCCACTGAACAAAACTTTAGCTTTGAATGGCTGAGTTAAAGTGTTATAAAACAGAGACAAATTTAGAATTTCACTCTGGCCCATCTAAAGCACAGGCTCTCCACCTATACATTACAAATTATTGGGAATACATCCTAATTGTTCAAAACATGATGCTTCATTAAAGAGCTGTAATATTTACAAGAATGAAGGGGGAATCTCATAGAAATCTATAAAATTCTACTAAGACTAGACAGTATAAATGAAGGAAGGACATTCCCAATAACCTTGGAGTCAGAAGGCCATTGTCATTGACAACTGGTCACCACTCCACAGACCAATCAGCTACTTGTTGCTTGACAAATCACTTTTTGTACACACTCCAGCGACTTTCCATTTGCAACCAGATATTATCCACTGGTTGAACAAGCAACACTTACACTAGGTGCCAGCCGCTTGCATTAAAGAAAAGTACAGAAATCCTTTTCACAATTGTTTTTTAAAACTGTCCTTTTTCCACTCTGGTTCACAAACAAAAATATAGAAAAACATACAAAAAACCGCACAGTCATGGGGAAAAGAAGGGAGTGGGACCAACTGCATTCTTCCCTATAAATGCCAGCATAGATCAATCGAACAAATAGCTTTGTTCTGTTTTGTACATGTCTATGATTCTATGAAAGCAAATTGTTAACAATAAGAGAGAGCACAATTGGGAAAAATAAGTGTTTGGATTTTGAGGTAAATACATATTAGCAAACTTTAAACCAAAAAGAACTCTGTAGTCCTGTTCAGAACATGTTGGAACCTTACCTGGTGCAAACAGTTACAAGACAAATTTTCACAATATTGAACTGAAAAAGGAAACAATGCAATCTGTTCTCTTCCAGAATATTTTAAGTCTATTTCTCTTTATAGAATGCCTATACTGTGGAAACAGGCCATTAGGCCCAACAAGTCCACACCAACCCTCTGAACAGCATCCCACCCAAACTCATCCCCCTACCCTTTCCCTGTAACCTTGCATTTTCCATGACTAAAGCATCTAACCTACACATCCCTGGACACTATGGGCAATTTAGCATAGCCAATCCACCTAAACTTTTGGACTGTGGAAGGAAACCGGAGCACCCGGCGGAAAGACATGGAGCGAATGTGCAAACTCCACACAGACAGTTGCCTGAGGGTGGAATCAAACCTGGGTCCCTGGTGCTGACAGGCAGCAGTGCTAACCACTGAGCCACCGTGCCGCCCAATGGTTCACAGGGAAGACATTTAGCGTTTGCAAAACTGGCTGTCAATGATCTCTTAGTTAAAGGGAAACAGACAACCTTGGAAACTCTTAAGTATGCTTACCTGGTGGCCCTGTAGGAAGCTGCTGTTTCTGGACAGAGGCAAACTGCTTGGCATCAGCCACAGAACTGAAGAGAGCTGCAAAGGGGTTGCTAGATATGTTATTGTTGTTCTCTTGGTCAGTCATTTCTCTTCAAAGCCCACTCCATTCAGCTCCAAAGCAGGCTGACAGGAAGACAATATAAAATACAGATGAATCACCCACGCTGCTAGAGAGTGCCAATACTTAAAACTATTTCAGCATGTCACAATACGTATACACAATTGCACTATAATATTCTAGATTCGACAAATGCGTTCTTTCACTAGAGAGATTCAAATACTAAGTAATAATCTATTACAGTCAATCATCCACATTACTCTGCTTTCAGTAAACAAGTCTTTGCTGAAATAACCTGCTACCAGCTAATCCATAATCACCTCTGCCTACAGACTACAGGGAGCCAAACAGAATACTCTGGCCAAGAAAATGCACTTACAGGCATTCCGCAATTGGCTGAAAATTGCACTTGTTTCCTGAAGTGTTATTTGCCCTTCTCCCCAAAAGGTTATTAATACAAACATAAAATCTGCCACCAATCAGTGCATTCGGGCAAAGGTTTAGAAATTGATTCTTTTATAATATTTTTGCACGAAAAATATTTCTCAATCTATTGAACAATAATGCTTTGGTTCATTTCAAGTTATAGAACATAAAATAAATTATCACAAAAAATGCAATACAATATGAACCATCATTTGTGAGCAACCCAAGTTTAAATAATTCAAAATGACTAAGTATCAATATCATTTACTGTTGACATTAGCTTACACAAAACAGTTCTCAAGAAAATTTTAAAAGAAAGTTTTTAAAAGATGCAAGGGAAGATAATTAAATCAGGGCCATCCCAAAGTGGGGATCAGGACATTAGGTGGAGTCGCAAGATGAAACGTTTGGGGTCATGAGCTCCAAGATAGCAATGGCCAAACAGTCCCCACCCTTCCAACTACTCTCATAAGTCTCCTCCTCCTTCCCTATCACTTTCGAAAGAGTTAAAACAGTTTTCAAGCTTTGAAACGGAGTCATAGTAGAAAAACATTTAGGAAGCAGTAAATTAAATTTTCTCTTGTTGAAGATGGTTATTCCTTAACAATTGTATGGAGTGAATGTTAGTACTTGCCATTTATCAGCCCAAATCTGAACACTGTCCAGGTCCTGTACAAATGGGGCACAGACTACTTCAGCTTCTGAAAGCTGGGACCACAAGTGAATACTATGTAAAAATAAGCAAAAATCATCACTTCTGACCTCAATGCAAAAGTCTTTGATGGAGTAACCAAACTTGGTCCAATAGTGGAGTCAAAAGACAACATCCTGATGACCTCCTGCCATAATATCTTGTCAATGAGATTATTGGCTTCCACAATCACAACTATCTTCTTTTGTTCTAAGTTATGACTCCAGTCTGTGAAAAGTATTTTCCCTGATATCCAATGATTTCCTGTGGCTCTGAGTAACAAGCTGCTGGGTTCGAGCCCCACTATAGGGCTTGGGTACGAAAATCAAAGCTGACACTCTAACGCAGTACTGAAAGAGTATTGCACTGTTGGAGTTGCAATATTTCAATTCAGACATTAAACTGAAGTTCCCATCTGCCTGGTTGAGTAGATGTAAGCAATTTCCCTGTGCTATTTCAAAGAACAGCAGGAGAGTTGACACCAGTATCCCAATACTTATCCTTTAACCAATACCAAATAAACAAGTTATCAAACAGAATGCTGTTTGACAGAGTTTGTGTGTGCATATTGGCTGCCACATGTCCTACATAACAACAATGACTACATTTCAAACAGTACTTCATTGGCAGTAAAGCACTGGATGCCTAATGGTTGCATAAAGTACTACATAAATGTAAGCCTTTCATTGTCTTCCTTCTAATTCTAATTTCATCATGGTTCCTTGATGTCACTCTTGGTCAAATACTGCTCTGATGTAAAGGAAAATCATTCTCACCCCATTCTTTGAAATCATCTTCTTGTCCATCTTTGAAACAAAACACTATTGGAACAGAGTGGTTCTGGCTGAACTCAAACTAAGTTTTGCTGAGCAAGTTATGATCAAGTACCACTGGATTAAATTGTTATTGTCATCTTCTATCTTTTGGTGATGTCAGAGTAGACTGATGGTATAGTAATTGGCCAAATTGGATTTGACCTACATTTTGTGTACAGACCACACCTGGCAATTTTCTCCATTGTTGGGTAGAGGTCAGTGTTGTAGTTGTACTGGTACAGCTTAACAAAATGCACATCCAGTTCTGGACATAAGCTTTTGACATCCTAGATCACACTATTTTCCAAATAACAATTTCTATACATCAAACCAGTTAATTGCCTGTAAATTCTTTGAAACTATCTGAAGTCATGGATGCCACCACAGAAATGCAAATCTTTCTTTCCAATAAAAATCTAAAATACCATTGTTATATAAATCCAAAAGTATGTAATAAGAACCTCCGTTAAAGCATTCCCATCTGTCAATCTCTCGTGCCCACATAAAATCTCACCGTTGGTGATATTCTCTACTGCATTTCTCAACCTTTGAGAAATGCTTCAATTTATTTATTAAAAATTCTAAAGACTGGAAGGACACAAGACATTGGTTAGAGACAGGAAAGTCTGAATTTCATAATTCACTGAATTGTTAAAAAAAGTCCAATTTTCTCATCTCTGCCACTGTGATTGCTAACAAACACGAGGACACTGACAAGATCACCTTCCTGATGTCCGTTAACTTTAATACTTTTATTAGCAACTGTGACTATATAATGGATCACAAGAAAGAATTCTGGCTGAGTTTCATCATTTTAAGTAAAGACGTCAGTCCAGGAATTGAACCTGACAGCTAACTGGCCGGTTTGCACTGGTTCAGCAGGCAGCATACAAATTAACCAAGTAAATTAATCCTTGATCACTGTAGATTTTTCTTCTTTGGAGTGATAAAAAAAAAAGTTACTTTAAAGAAAAAGATCCATGTTTGTCATGAACAGGTTAAAATAACAAAGCTGTTAACTGTGATTACTGGACATTGAAACATGACAAATTGGATACAGACTCTAAAATTTCAAATCAGGAAAGTTTTAAACAAATTCACGTTAATTTAACTTATACAGTGCTTCCCAAACATTTTGCCATTGAGAACCTATTTCAAAGTTTAAAAATATTTACAACCCAGCAGTGAGTAGTGGGAAGGAGAAGAGACCTATTACATCAAAAGTAAGGAGTCGTCAGCCATCACTGCCTTGGAACTTGTGACCGCAACATTTCAACTCGAGAACTCATTTGGCGTCCGGATCTCCACTTTGGGAAGTTCTACACTTATAGCCAGAATTAGAAGAAATATGTTACATTAGAAGCACATTCTTGGCAAATTTAGTTTCTGTACAAATTTGGAGTACAACCAGAATAAACAATTGAGTCGGTGTACAGTTTGTTTATGCATTGCAATACCTCTAATCAAACAGTATTTCTGCACGACAGAACAAAGCAGCTTGAACAGAAACCATGCGGTATAAACTGAGAACAAGTAACCTTGTGTGGTAATACAAGACACCAAAGCGAGGTCAGGAACAAATACTACACAGTGTACGACTGACACAGCAATCAATGTTCCAATTATTCAAATTTATTTATGTCAACATGATTGAATCTCCACTTCCCATCCTATGTTTGGACACTGCAGAAGACAAAGTCATATAAATTCTTTACTTCAGTCTCATTGTGAAGAGCTACAGTAGGCCTGAGGTCTGGTCATCAACAAATTGCATTTCTACAGCGCCACTTGTTCTATTGAGTTCCAAGATTACTTAGCTGCTTTAGCAGTGTTGCAAATTCAAACGTTACTGTTTTTCAGAAAGATGATTCTATACCTTTCTAACATCAATAATTTAGATACACAGACATTACATCTGTGCAAACAGACAAAAAGGCTATTGTATCAATAACAGGTCTCATGTGCCTTAAATTCCTGAAAGTGGAGGTAGGGGGAAAACAGTCAGTTATAGTGCATATTAGTGCTATGGCAAGAGAACAGAAGCAATGTGCTCCCTATATCTATTTTCTATCAACGTGTAGCAAGGCTTTCTGGATTTAGGTGAGAGGTGGATCCCAATGGGGAAAGTGTACAACCCATATTCAGGAAGCAGAAATAATGCATGTTGTTGGCAATCTCTCAGCATCTTAAAATAAATATTCGAACAATGACAGGTCCCCACACGTCACACCTAATGCTGAACAAGAGAAGTCATTAGTAATTTTGTTTCTATCTGATCGCTGGATGTGGGCATTGCTGAGGATGCTCGCACAAAACTAGCATGGTGCAAGATTTGGGAGTCTCATGATGACCATGAATCCATTGTCAATTGTCAGAAAAGCCCATGTGGTTCACTAATGTCCTTTAGAGAACAAAATTGTTATCCTTACCTGGTCTGGCCTACATGCGACTGCAGACCCACAGCAATGTAGTTGACTCTTAACTGCCCCCTGGGCAACTAGGGTTGGGCAATAAGTGCTAAGCTAGCCAGCAACACCCTTGTCCTGTGAATGAATTAAAAAAACTACCTACAAGATGCACTGCAGAAATTCACCAAAGATCCTCACACAGCAACTTCTAACTCACAACCAATTTCATCTAGGAGGACAAGGACAGCAGATACATGGGAACACCACACAAGTTCCCTTCCAAGCCACTCACCATCCTGACTTGGAAATATATCACCACTCTTTCACTGTCACTGAATCAAAACTCTGGAAATCCCTCCCTAAGGGCATTACCGATCTACCTACAGTATACAGACCTCAGAGGTTCAAGAAGGCAACTCACCATTACCTTGTCAAGGGTAACTAGGGAATGGGCACTGAATGCTAGTCGAAACAGAACCTCTAGATAATGTTTCTCAAACTTTTTGCCATTGTGACCACAACTGATTCTTGAAAATTGCCATTAGCTTAAGCGTGTACTGTGCCACAGGAAAGAGACCTGCAAGAGTACAAGTGAGACTGTCAAAGTGGAGACCTGTTAGAATTGGAGCACCACTGTTACAACTCTGCTAGAACTTGATAGGGGCAATTGCTGCCTTGGAGCTCAAGGAATCAACTGGGGCCCCAACACCCACTTTGGGAAACCCTGTTCTAGGAAGTAAAGGTGAATCACACGCACACTCTGAGCAACCGAGAATCAAAGAAATTCATGGAGACATTAAAGATGGTAGTTATTTCGCCCAACCTCCTTTTGCTCTAATACATTTGTACATTAGCTATAAAACATTTCATTTCTGAGGAAGGGTCACCAGACCCGAAACGTTAACTCTGTTTTTTCCTTCATAGATGCTGCCAGACCTGCCGAGCTTGTCCAGCAACTTTGTTTTTGTTCCTGATTTTCAGCATCCGCAGTTCTTTTGGTTTTTTATAAAAAATTTAGAGGCAGGAAAGAGATTGTTTGACCAACAGTCAGGGACAATCCAATCAGGTATCAGAGCTAGATGTGAAGGATATCCAGCAGCTCTGCTGAGGTGGTTCAACTGGCAGGTGACGTTGTTAAAAAATTCCTCAATACCCTATATTCTCAAGTAACAGTTGACCTTGCGTAAATATCAAGCGTGTTTTGGCCATAAAACTCAAACGCTGAAGGCAAATTCGGAATGGTGCAAACCTACTTGATAGAATCATAAAATAGCAAACTGTCAAAGGTGGCTGTTCAGCCGATGGTACTTGTACAGGCTTTGGTTCTTTTGCACAAGTCTTGCAATCAGGGTTGGCATGAACAGTTATCAACCTTGCTTTGTGATAATGAGACGGTGAGGAAAGTTGGGATTTTAACCTCTCCTGCATGTCACTTGTATAAAAGTTGACTTCGTACTACTTGACTAAAAATTTGGCCTGAGAAACTCAATTTTTACACAGATTTAAATAGTTGGCCCAGTCAAAATTGACATCCCTCATAACCACAGATGAAGCATCATATATCAATTTGCAATTCTGCCATGCTATGTGCTATCCTTATAGAGATCATAGGCAAGTGAGTGGCACCCCATTCTCTGTCCACCCAACACTCTGCAATGAAATATGAAGTAATTGTGCCAGGATGATGAATGGAGCTTAGTTCCTTTACCCACTCCCTGTCCCATCTTAATCTCATTTTGACTAGGACAGAGAAAAACATTCAAATTCTCCAATCTGTGAGACCTATGCCCTCATTCAAGCCAGTGGTCTATCATATGGTATAGCACTAATTCTCAATATTGTATTTGAAGGAACAGAAGGAGTGAGTTACAAGTCTCTCAAAGTTTGCAATAAATCAAGTGCATGACACTTAATAGGGATATGGGATTGTAAGGATTATTAGACAAAGAAAACCACCAAACTCCACCTTATTCACTTTCCACGATTCTCGTAATCTCAAGCTACAATAATGGAGTTGGTTGACCAATAATGCCAATACACTATCAGATATTAATCAACCCATAACTAATTTAGATATAATGCTAAGTGAGGGGAGTCATGGGAGGCACTGAAACTTAGTCTTGCATTTATAAAGCACTATTAATGACTTCTGGATGTCTCAAAGCCTTTACAGCCAATGATATACTTTCAATGGAGTCACAGTTCCAATGTAGAAAACCCGCTGCAGCAGCAAATCTGCACTCAACAAACTCCCACAACAGCAATGTGAATTGCGCAGATATTCTGTTTTTGTGATGCTTGTCAAACAATAAACATTGGCCAGAACACTGGAAGAACTTCCTTGCTCTTCTTCCAAATAGCGCTGCAGGATCTTTTACATCCTTCTGCAGGGGCAGATGAAGTTTTAGTTTTATGTTACATCCTAAAGTCTATCCAGTACACCCTCAGCAATGGACTGTCATCTTAAATTTTAAGTCTCTGAAAAGGGACACAAACCTTCTGACTTAGACAAGCTCACTATCCCACTGAAGTCCAAAGTTATTTCTGCTGTCTCTAACCACAATACATTTACCATGCATGCCTCAAATTACTCATACTATATTCCAAAATATTATTTTCAGAACTCTACCTAATTAGTAACTGAATGAATTAGCACCAACTGCTCTGCTGAATTCCAAGGGAGTCTAATCTATATGCGAACTTCTTACTCAGTGAAATAAAACGCTACCCCACATTAACTCTGAGTTTAATCTCTCCGACCTCCAGCCCTATCTTTCAATTGTGCTCTTCTGAACAAGAAAAGCTGCTCATCAGGTACATTATCCAGTCTCTTTAGAATCCTAAAAACGGTTTTCAAATCACCTCTCAATCTATACAATGGAACCTTATAATCCAACATCCCTCTTTTACTAATTGGAATAGAAACTATAATAATTCTGATCAACATATTCTGACTCTGAGCGATTTAATAAAGCTGAGGGTGGAGAACTCTTTATGCTGTTGTAAAAGTCCAATGACCGTGAAAAGTTTTCCAACCAACTTAAAAGAACTGTCAATAAAAACTCAGAGAATAAGAACTGGCTATGGGAATCTCCTACTTCTTCCCTCCAGAAACCAGCAAACTTAATTGTTATCCTGAGAGATAATAAGAACTGCCGATGCTGGAGTCAGAGATAACACAGTGTGGAGCTGGAGGAACACAGCAGGCCAGGCAGCATCAGAGGAACGGGAAAGCTGACGTTTCAGGTCGGGACCCTCTAGAAATTTTCTGAAGAAGGGTCCCGACCCGAAACGTCAGCTTTCCTGCTCCTCTGATGCTGCCTGGCCTACTGTGTTCCTCCAGCTGCACACTGTGTTATGTATGTCAATAAAAACTTAATAGGTTTTAATTCAGGCAGCAGCACAAACAAACTGCGAGAGGTCAGTGAACTGGTCTCCCTTACTCTGCAGACCTGAGAAAACAACTTTACAAAGAGAAGGGTGAAGAGAAAATCAGAGAGAGCTCTTGAGGCAAAATGTATTTTACTTTCTAGTATACAAAAAAAACAACGAATTTTCAGCAAGTGGAGAAAGCCTGAGTCAGGACAATTAGCTCAGAGAGAGAAGTAAAAACTGCCTGAAACCAGGGGCCTGCAAAGCAACAAACAGTACAGGGCAGAGAGAGTAAGAGAGAGGGGAATCTTTTTGAAAATTAAACATTTATACCAGATATTAAAATATTCACAGTAATGAGCTACCACATTCCATCAAAAGAACAAAACACAGGGCCAGTTTCTAACCTCAGAGGATTGGGAAGAGTTGGGAAGTCGGACGAGTACATATAGAAATAATAAGTGATTAAATAAATAATCTAACTGAAGGAGAGCAGGCCCAGTGATCCCAGATGTGGAAAGCCAGTGGGGGATTTTCCCCGTCACTGAGGGAAGGATTTTTACTGACAAATTAAATGTTTTATAAACATTCACGGGGACCGAGTGGCCGTGGCTGAGGGGAAATGGAAGGGAGAAACGGTCCCCGCTCGAGCCGCCCTTACCTGGGGATCCGCTGCTGCTGAAAGTGGCGGCTCCGTCCGTCCGTCAGGGAGGCCCGGGCTCCCAGCGTGCGCGCCCCCTGGCTCCCCGCGCGCGCGCTCTGGCAGCCGGCGTGCCCTTCCCCGGGCTCCCAGCGTGCGCGCTCTAGCAGCCGGCGTGCCCTTCCCCGGGCTCCCAGCGTGCGCGCCCTGGCAGCCGGCGTGCCCTTCCCTGGACACCCAGGTAGCGCTTCTGCTGAACGACTTCACGCAGGCGCTGTCTCTCTTCGCCTCAACTCGGCTCCGCCCTCCCTTGGCCCCGCCCATCACCTTTACAACAAAAACTTATAGGATGCTGGAGAACTGAAATCATCACAGTTAGTGCTGGGGCAGCTCAGCTAGGTGTCCCCCTTTTCTCCCGGGCTCAATAGATTTAAGAAGGCTTATTCGAGAGAGTATTTGAAAGCAGGTTGATTAAAAATATTTGCAAGTGCTGGAAAATTGGGCCAGTGTGATGGGTGTTTGACAACTGGTACAGTTCCAATGGGCTGAAAGGCCTTTTTTCCATGCTGTGAAAGGCCATGGTTCTATGTCCATGAAGAGGAAGAGTCATATTGGACTAGATGCATTTTCTCTAGCACTTTATGTTTTTGTGTCAGTAACTTGCATGAGTATTTCCCCAACCTCCCCTGCATTTGATCCCTGCTTGTAGCTGACTCCTGCCAAGAGATCTGCTGTCATAATATGTCCATGGCTTTCCATGGCTGACTGAATGAACAGGCTTATGTGTAAATTCATAGATTCTTCACAGAGTGACTGTGACCTCTTAGCTTGTTTCCTATCTTTACCTCATTTCACACGGGATAAAGAAAAACATTTGAATTCTGTTTCCTCATCAGACACCTATGACTTCAGTCAAAGCCAGTGGTCTATAATGCAGTGGTCTATAAGATAAGGATGAAGCATTCACAGCAAACTTCAACCAGAAGAATGTGGTGGATGATCCATCTCAGCCTCCACCAGTTGTCCCCAGTATCACAGATACCAGTCTTCAGCCATTTCGATTCACTGCACGTGATATCAAGAAACAATTGGAGGCACTAGATAGTGCAAAGGCTGCGGGCCCTGCCAACATTCTGGCAATAGTACTGAAGACCTGTGCTCCAGAACTTGCCACTCCCGCAGCCAAGCTGCTCCAATACAGTTACAAAACTGGCATCTACTTGACAAGGTTGAAAATTGCCCAGGTACGTCCTGTACACAAAAAGTAGGACAAATTCAATCCACCCGATTACCGGCCCGTCAGTCTATTCTAGATCATCAGTAAAAGTGATGGAAGGTGTCATCAAGTGTGCTCCCAAGCAGAACCTGCTCAGCAACACCCAGTTTGGGTCCCACCAGGGCAACTCAACTCCTGACCTCATTACAGCCTTGGTTCAAACATGGACAAAAGAGTTGAACTCCAGAGGTGAGGTGAGAGTGACAGCACTTGATATTGAAGCCTCATTTGACCGAATGTGGCAAAAAGGATCCCTAGCAAAACTGGAATTAATGGGTATCAGGGGAAAAAACTCTCCACTGATTGGAGACATACCTGGCACATTGGAAGATGGTTGGGGGTGTTGGAGGTCAATCATCTCAGCTCCAGGACATCTCTATAGGAGTTTCTCAAGGTAGTGTCCTAGGCTGAATCATCTTCAGCTGCTGCATCAATGACCTTTCATCCGTCATAAGGTCAGAAGTGGGAATGATCACCAAAGATTGCACAATGTTCAGCACCATTTGTGACTTCTCAGATACTGATTCAGTCCATATTCAAATGCAGCAAGATCTGGACAATATCCAGGCTTAGGTTGACAAGTGGCAAGTAACATTCATGCCACACAAATGCCAGGCTATGACAATCTCTAATAAGAGACAATCTAACCGCTGCCCCTTGATAATCAATGGTGTTACCATCACTGAATCCCCCACTATCAACATCTTTGGGGTTACCATTGACCAGAAACTCAACTGGACTGATCACATAAACACAGTGACTAAAAGAGCAGGTTAGAAGCCAGGAAAACTGCAGAGTGTAACTTGCCTCCTGACTCCCCAAAACCTGTCCACCATCTACAAGGCACAGGTCAGGAATGTGATGGAATACTCTCCACTTGCCTGGATGAGCTCAGCTCCAACAACATTCAAGAAGCTTGATACCATCCAGGACAAAGCAGCCCGCTTTATTGGTGCCACATCCGGAAACATCCACTCTCTTCACGACTGATGCTCAATAAGAGCAGTGTGTACTACCTACAAGATGCACTGCAGAAATTCACCAAAAATCCTTAGACAGCACCTTCCAAATCTACAACCACTTCCATCTAGAAGGACAAGGGCAGCAAATACATGGGAACAGCACCACCTCCAAGTTCCCCTCCAAGCCACTCACCATTCTGACTTGGAAAAATATCTCCATTCCTTCACTGTCGCTGGGTCAAAATCCTGGAATTCCCTACCTAAGGGTATTGTGGGTCAACCTACAGCATGTGGACTGCAGCAGTTCCAGAAGGCAGCTCACCACCACCTTCTCAAAGGCAACTAGGGACGGGCAATAAAACGGTGGCCAGCCAGCAACACCCATTTCCCATGAGTGAATTTTAAAAAAAATGTTATATCATTAATTCTCAATTTTACATGTTCAGAACAAGAGGATCAAGTTACAAGTCTGTCAAAGTTTGAAATAAATCAAGGACAAGCAATGCTCAACAGGAATAAAAACAGTAAGTGCTGGAGAATTGGTATCATATTGGATTTGAAATGTTAGCTCTATTTTTATATCTTTATTATCTTTTGAATGGAATTTTAAACTAAGGTCCCTCAGGTACAATAAAAGCAACCGAACACAAAAAAAGCAAAGACTTCTGCTGGTATTTCTCCAACATTGCTCATTTTTTTATGATCTTCAGCCTTCTGGTTGTTTAGCATATAGAGAATATAGAAGGCATGGTTCGTAAGTTTGCGGATGACACCAAAATTGGTGGTATTGTAGACAGTGAAGAAAGTTTTCTAAGATTATAAAGGGATCTTGATCAAATGGGTCCATGGGCTGAAAAACAGCAGATGAAGTTCAATCTGGTTAAATACGAGGTATTGCATTTTGGTACAACAAACAAGGGTAGGGCTTATACATTTAATGATAGGGCCTTAGGTAGCATTGTAGAACAGAGGAACCTAGGGGTGCAGGTACATAATTCTTTAAAGTTTGTGTCACAATAGACAAGGTTAAAAAGGCATTTGGCACGCTTGCCTTCATTGCTCAGTCCTTTGTTAATAGGAGTTGGGACGTTATGTTGAGGTTGTACAGGACATTGGTGAGGCCTCTTCTGGAATACTGTGTCAAGTTCTGGTCGCCCAGTTATGGGAAAGATATTATCAAGCTGGAGAGGGTTCAGAAGACATTTACCAGGTTGTTGCCGGGTACGGAAGGTTTGAAATATAAGGAAAGGCTGGATAGGCTGGGACTTTTTTCACTGGAGTGTAGGAGGTGGCGAGGCGGCCTGACAGAAGTTTATAAAATAATGAGAGGTATAGATAGAGTTGATGGTGGTTGTCTTTTCCCTAAGATGGGGAATTTCAAGACTAGGGGGCACATTTTTAAGGTGAAAGGAGAGAGATTTAAAAAAAGACATAAGAGGCAAAGTTTTTACACAAAGAGTGGAATGAAGGTCCTGAAGAAGTGGTGTTTGCGGGTACAATTACAACGTTTAAAAGATTGTGGATGGATATATGAGTAGGAAAGGTTTGGATGGATATGGGCCAGGAGCAGGCAGGTGGGACTAGTTTAGTTTGGGATTATGATCGGCATGGACTGGTTGGAGCTGTATGACTCTATGACACTATGACTCTAGCTTCCCTACATAAAAGGGGCAATTGGTGTGCCTAAGAATGATTTTTTTTTCATTATTCATTAACAGAATGCGGCCAACACTGGCAAGGCTAATATTTTTTGCCACTCCCTAACTGGCTATGACAGAATGGTGGTGGGAGTTCTTATACTGTGTTTAAGCAGCTTGTTAGGCTATTTCTGAGGCAGTAAGAGTCAACCACATTTCTGTGCAGGCACATTTTTCTTCCTTTATTTATTCTCGGGATGAGGGCATTGTTGGGTAGGCAGCATGTCCTTCTCTAAAAGTCTTTAGTGAACCAGATGGGTTTTTCCTGACAATCGACAATGGATTCATGGTCATCAAATTCCACCATCTGCCGTGGCAGGATTCAAACCCAGGTCCCCACATCATTATCTGGGTCTCTGGATAGTCCAGCGATAATACTACTAGGCCATCACCTCCCACTTGCACCAGACAAGTAAAAACAGCAATTTTATTTCCTTAAAGGATGTAAGTGAACCAGCTGGGTTTTTAATGTGATATAGTAGTTTTGTACTCACCATAACTGATCTTAGATTTTTATTCCAGTTGTTATTTATTTGAATTTGATTTCCAAGCCCCTCCTGCCAACATAGTGCGATTTGATTCATGAAATGTGACCATTAGCCCAGCTATCTAACCAACTAACCTAGCAGTGTGCTAACATACAAATAAAGCCTGCTTCTCAGAACTTTCTGAGAGACATCCTATTTGTAATAGACACTATAGTTATTGATAAACTCACTCAGTTGTGTAAAGTACTGTATAAATTTGATAATTGCACTTAATTACCAGTCTTTCACCTTCTGTGCACATTTTTTACCTTTATAAACACCTAGACAACAAATTTAGCCTGTGCATAAAGGTCAAGTGGTGTTGTGAACTTGCCTACTGACAGAGGAGCCACATATTCTTAAGTCAGAGTTTATTTGCGATTCGGGATCATCTGGTAGGCCCAGGCTGTGCTAACCCATCTACAGAAGCATGTAGAATGAGTTAAATAAAGACATCTGCAAACTTGCATTCAGCTGTAAAATTAAATAAAAAGTGATTGTGAAAAGTCTGAACTGTGCCTTACATTACTGAATACAGCACTCAAAAATAACTAAACCTTGTGTGCCAATATTGGCAAATTTCCTTACATAATTTTAACATATAAAGGAGCTAGGTCCAAAGTATATTTTCAAACTTTAAACATTTTTTTGAAATATCATACAATTTCGTAGTAATACAGGTTCTCAAAGTGACAAGTCTTCAGGATAAGTTCTGCTATGAGTGGCCTTTCTTTCTTCAGTCTGATCTGTGATAGAATCTATTGTGAG